TTCGTCCCAAACCGGAGAGCTCTGAATGCCATTGAAACACTCAATGAGCTCAGACCTAATTTCGGACACGCCCTGCACCACGCGTGATTGGAAGTTCCAACGTGTTGGTGCACAAGCTGGGAGACGGCGGCTACATATCTGGCGAAGGAGGTCAGAGCGCTTCGGCAAAACGGAAAAGAATGAAGAAAACCCAGGAACATTTGCAAAAAATATACGGACGAGAGGGGTATCAAGACACATATTTTTAATAACGAGGTTAAATTGGTGTGCATAACAATGTAAAAAATGCGCATGAGGAAAATCTTCTTTTATATAAACTTGAACACCATGTTTCGACCCACTCATGACTGCCGCGCCGTCATAAGTTTGAGCTATCAATTTTGACTTCGCGTTGTAAGGCTGTAACACTTCTTTCAGTACAGCCGATATCCCGCAAGCCGTGCGATCAACGATTGGTACAAAGCTGTGAAATCTCTCGGTAGGTTTACCATCTTTTACAAACCGAAAAATCACAGCCAGTTGGGAAACGCATGTGATGTCAGTTGTCTCGTCAGACTGAATCGAAAGGAACTGGCAATTCTCAATTTCCAGAGCCAAATGTTGTAAATAAATTTTATACATTGAGTCGAGCAAATCATTTTGGATATCCTTAGATGTCCCTTTCGAAACAGTTGCGGCATCAAGATGATCTCTCAATACTGTATCTAGGGATGCGGTGTATTCCACCATATCCAAAAATACCCCTCTATTAGAAGAGCCAGCCCGTTCATCGTGCCCACGGAGGGACAGCTCGTGACAACCAATGAACTTCAAAACATCTATCAATCGACCGAGAACATGGCGGTTTTTCTCGACGTTTTGGTTGTGCCGACGAATAGAAACCGCGCGTCCTTCATCCAACTGTGCTGCAATATTAACATTTCCGAATGTTCGGTATTTTACTGCATTGTCCAGATGCTCCATAGAAGATTGATGATCCCTGGCACGCTCGGAAAGATGTTTGAGATCTCTAAAACAAAATTTACACCAACGTGAGTCACGGGCGGTAGCAAAAAGTAGGCAATAAAAACAAAAAAGTGCATTTTTGTCCTCGCTGTAACACAACCATTCGTGTTTTTTATACCAAGTTTCTGCGCAGAATGTACGCCGACGCTTTCCTCCGTCATGGGATTGTTCCAGTGAACAATTTTTTGGTTGATAAGGCCCAAGACGTTGTACCTCTAATTTTTGTTCCAGCGGCAGCTGCGAAAACGGAGTGCGAAGTAGTGCATCAACCTTATTCATTATGAGGTCTAAGGCTAAGAAATGCGAAGCCGGAAAGAAGTGAGGAGCTCAAAAGGAATGTGGAAAATCGAAAGCAAATGGATTGAAGGTCTCTAACTGATTCAAATAGCGAAACAAGCGACAAAAACGAAGGCGAGGAAACTATCAACTCTTCAACCAACCAACGAACAAGAAGGAATGCGTGAATATGTCAACACGTTGTTGTTAGAAACGTCGGCATTGTGTCGTCATAATTTCGGGGCTAGCCCCGATCGGCCCCGATGATTTAGTAAAAGAAACAGAAAACAAACGAGACAAACGCGGCGAGTGGAAGATAAAAGAGAGAATACGATATACAATGAGCAACCGGGGCAAAATCGGCGTCGCCCCGTCGACGTTCGGGGAAGGCTTTGCGAGCGAAAAATGAACCATGTCGGGAGAATATGGCTAGTGTAGACAGTCTGTGCAACCGATATTGAGGTATTTTTCGAATGTTTTTTATTATACCGAAAAAACAACCGGGGCATTGGCCCTATTGACGCGCCGCCACTGGGCCGTAATGTCATATTTTTGAAGTAAAATAACCAAAAATAGATTCCTTCTTTGGTAATGTGAATCTTAATAGACAATGTCAAAAAAGCTCGCTTGCCAATATCAGCTGATTCAAGATCTAAAGAAACTGTGGCTTCAGATCGAGGTCCCATTAACTGCGAACAAAGCACCGTTCGCGTCCACGCATCTATGCGAGGAAGGATTTTCGGCACTGACAGCCATTAAAACGAAGGCTCGCAATCGCCTCCCTCTAGTACACTTTGCGCTCAGTAAATAGATTCGTTTATAGAGATATAATAAAGGACTGTGTCAATGGATGGTATCTAATAAATCGTTGTCTGTATTTGAGTTAAAGAGTACTAGACTAACACTAAAAATACATTATTACTTATCGATCTCGATCGGTAAGTATGTTGATAATTATTACTTATCGATCTTAAGATCGGTAAGTATATTGATAGGTATTTGTATGTATGTCTGTCTGTCTGTGTGTGTGTGTGTCTGTTAGATGCACGCGATATCTCACGAAAGCGGGATTGAATCTGCTCCAGATTTTGCATGTGCATTCATCTTATCTCGGACCAGAATCCTATTGATTTTGGGCGAATTATGTCGTATAATTAGCGAGTTATCAATCAATTATTGATATAGTGATCTAGATTTTTGTAAAGCGAGAGAATTTTGAAACCCGCCGAGTGTGTGTGTGCGATGCGCAGTGCGCAAGTTACAAGAGCGGATGAATCGAAACTGCAGTTTCTGTTTTGGGGGATCCCCTAACTATCGATCGATAAGTCTTCGGTTTCCAACCGATATTCTCGTTTGTCTGTTTCTCTGTTAGACACTTTCGTATGTTACGCGATATCTCACGAAAACGAGGTTGAATCTGCTCCAAATTTTGTATGTGCATTCACCAACTACAATGGGTAGGACCTTTGCATCGATATCTGCAAGCACAATATTCCTTTATGTGAGCACAATCGCTGTCCTGGGTGCACACTGTTGAAATTTAAAGAACGAATCAGTGATTTAAATTTTCTTTCTAGTTTTACAGATATTTATCTATAGGTATATATCAGGAGTGTGCAGCTATCAATACAGGCCATTTACGAATATCTAGGTGAAACCGCGGGCCGCACCGCGCTGTTCATTTCGTACAGCCTAGCTGTTGAAGGCATAGATAGATAATAAATTGGACTCTTCGTCCAATAAATAGGCAACTTTGTAACGTATAGACTATAGAGATTGGAATTGATTAATGGTGCAAACCGTACAAAATTAGCACTTCTTCACGTGACGCACAAGATTTCCTTTTGGGCCGCATTTGGCCCGCGGTCAGCAGGTTGCACACCCTTGATCTAAATAATCGGGTTAGCATCAATATAATACAATTTACTAGCTCAAATAGGCAATGCGTCAACTTTATTTCAGAATATAATACTTAGTAACATCACATGATATAGCGTCAACATCAAAACCGAGTGTAATTTTACTGCAAAGCGCAATAAACGGGACATTTATGTTCTAAATTCTGAATGACGATAGGTTGTTCAGGCTGGGAAATTGTTTAAGTTGTATGTTTCTGTCTTATATCTTTCGTTAATCTAAATTAATATATTCTCACGAACTTCCACTGAGCCCTCCGTTTGTGATATCGAATAATGATGACATTACAGCAACCGACAATAGGAAACATAGCCTACAAGTAATTTCTGCACGACTCAGGTCTGTTTTAAATACTTTTGCTAATGAATAAATAAACAGCTGAAATTAGTACAGTTTAGAAATTATAGGAGGCGTTGGCCTCGAATTTCAGGGATTTCCGTCAAAAAACTCGTTCATAACATGGCACCCTTTTAATAATAAATTTGGTCTTTATTAACTGCATATGGCAATGGTTTTAACATGTGACGTTTTGCGTGCCACTTCAAAAATAGCAAGCTAACAATAAGCTACAAATAACAGGAAATGAGAGATTTTATTCTCGGAAACATGTTTAAAATACATGGATGTAACGTAAATAATGAATTAAATAAAAAATTTGAAATGTAAATATTTTAAATGGAAACGGGCAATATCTAATAAATATTTTTAATTAGCCTCACACCTCGAGGCAATTGTCTTCGCTATTTCTGTATTGCACGCCCTATCGTTTGAGAATCACTACTATATAATGTAGAAATAAACGATAATACAGCGCCACATAACTCAGAGTGTGAAAATTTTTTAACAAAATGTGAGTAACTTAAAATCCAATTTTAGCAAAGGATTTTTTTTCGTAAACATCGATGTATAAATATGCGTTTAAAATTACTAATTTCGGTTCTAAAGCTACAATGAGCGGCGCTCCAGGAGTGTGTGTACTACTAATTTTGTTTGCCTACTTTACATCAAGTTGTGTAAAAGGAATGAAGTCTAAGGGCAGGAGGTATATTTACTTGGTTAACGCAGCCAGTCCCGTTTTTTATTGTTCGCGGGCCACAATAGTGCCCAGAATAGGTAAACATTGCAATACAAAACAAATACTTTTATTGTGCGAACACATAGTTATCAGACATAACCATCCCAGGTTAATAGAATCCGCATTCGATTTTCAGTTTTTTATGATGCCTATATTCTTAGCATATATTCCCGACCAAAAAGATAGAAAGCCAGATAATAATTTAGACTGCCAAGCACATCATTCAACTACGCTATTTGCCTCGGCTAGCCATAACACTAGTCAATTAGGTGACATTAGTGATGTGACAATATATCAAAAGATTTTTCTGATTCATTTTATTACGAAACAACACGAAATGCGATTTATTGATTGCTCCCCGAATGTGACGCGGACCACAGATAATAAAGCGGCGGGCCACATGTGGCCCGCGGGCCTGGGTTTGGACCACCCTGCTCTAAAATCTAAATAAACCCAACCTTGCTACACACACTACGAAAGTACCCAATCAGCTACTTTGGACACGATTTATAATATTTGAATGCTTGACTACCCAAAATTTGGCAACTTTAAAACGAATGTGCACAATTGAAGTATACCATTTGATATAGAGTTCTGAAAATATTTTGCGGTTATGACTACAGTTCATTAAAAATTAGTTCATGTTTCATAATTTGACATAGTGCATCGTAAATTCTAGTAAATTTTATGACGTCATTGATTGGGACGTCTTTGCAGTTTCGCGCGAAATCCGCTTGTTGATGATTTGAGAAAGTTAGTCCGTCGTTTCGCCGGTTTCCTGCATATACTGAGCAAGGTGCTAAGGCCTAAATATGAGTTGGAATTCTAGTCCGGGTATGTCTCCCAATCGACCACAGAGAAGCAGGAAAAGAAATAAGCTAATATATTATGGTGATGATGACGTCTCGAGCGAAGAGGAAGTCAGAATGCAGAAGCGGAGAGCGTTGAAATTGCTTGAAAGTCCACTTGCCGCGGAACAATCTCCATCAAGTTCGGTTGAAAATGTAGCAGTTGCGTCTTTACCTGTGCCTACGTTTGCACCATCTACTCCTGAAACGCCCAGTGGTGCTAGTACCAGCTCTAATATTGCGCAGAGCAGTGTTGCAGACAGGACAATTGCAAAGAAAATAGGTTTTCGTCTAAAAAATCTCCTCAAACTTCCGAAGGCTCACAAAATGTGTATTTATGAATGGTTTTACTCACATATTGATAAATGTTTATTTGAAGGTGACAATGATTTCTTACTTTGTTTGAAAGAATCTTTCCCTACTCTGTCAACAAAGGGTCTCACAAGGGCTCATTGGGCAAAAATTAGACGAATAATGGGTAAACCACGCCGGTGTTCTGAAGCATTTTTCATGGAAGAACGAAACTCATTAAAAAGTAAAAGATTCAGAATTCGTCAACTTCAGCAGAGAAAGGTCAGTGCAGATGATGGGTTTACATTCAACGATCTACCAAAAGAAATTCCAATGTCACTGATCCTCGGAACGAAAGTAACAGCAAGACTTCGCGGATCCCATGATGGACTATATACTGGACGAATTGATGCTGTTGACGTTTTAAATTCATCTTACAGAGTAACCTTTGACAGAAGAAATCTTGGCACCAAAGAAGTTTCTGATATTGAAGTTGCCAGTGATGACCCTCAAGAGACAATGCAACTCACGTCTCTTATCGATAGAAAAAGGCCATTTTATAATATGTTTTCCCCTATGCAGCCAGATTTTAATGACAGTCTTCAAAGTCCCACAAATGAACATGATCCTGTTTTGGGTCAGTCTCCGTTGCGTAGTAAATTTCCAGGCGGAACTGGTGGTACATTGGGGGGTTTCCCAGTTAAATTCCTCGTTCAGGTGGCCCGCCTTTCAAAAATTTTAGCCATCAAAAAAGAAAACTTACAATTACTCGAGCAAATGAATTCACAAGCGGAAAAAAGTCACTCGTATGGAGAGACTCTGCCTATAGAGTTTCAAAGAAAATATGCAACCGTTGTTTTAGAACTTGAAAGACTGAACGCAGAGTTAAATTCTCTGTTACTCGGAATACAAAAATTTTGTTTAGAGCTCTCTCCTGAGAACACAATTTTATGTGACCAAGGATCGCACGTTAGACAAACAGCTATGGAAAACGCAGAGCAAATGGTAGAGAGTAAAAACTTAACTACAAATGGGAAAAAAGCAGTCAAAAATTGTGGCCTCACAACTCTTGTGAAACAACTCACTGCCATCATGATGCAGATTCGCTATCTCAAAGAAAATAACGGAAATCCTTTCGAATTTAAAGCAATTACAGATTCCATGGATAACATAAAAGAAAAAATTATGCCTGAAAATATGGAGTCTTTCCAAAATAATGTTGAAATTCATATAGCTCATATACAAAGTGGAATGAACAGAATTCGAAAATAACAAATTGAACGACACTTATTTGACATTATTCAGCGATTATATATTGTGATTATTATATATTTATTTGGTCTTATAATCAGACGATCATGATACATGGTTCGAGTTATTGTAGGCATTACATTCCTGGAAATTTTAATCCATGACCTATATGAATTACGACTGTTAGACATTTGTCCCTTATTGAAATACTAATGTGTGAATTGCATTCTAGTTATATACCTCTCTCATTTACTCTGAAATGAAGTTGTTTTCACTGCATTTTCTTTGCAGTATTGTTTTGTGAACTCTTAATTAGTTTTATAGTTGATGTGTTTGCGACATAGCCAACTAAGACTATACTTTAGCATGACAAACTTATTTTTTGCGAATAATTTTATCGTCTATTAAATTCAATATTACTATTTTTACTACGAAATGATGATAAAATTCAGACATCGAAATTTTTTTGAAGAAAAGACTTTAATAATTAGTTTCCACAGAGTAACTACATCATTTTTAATTGCATTTCAACTTTGAAATAATTTTGTTATGTGTTGTTTATACAACAGACTCGATCACTTTATTTCTGCTATGTGGAATAGTTTGCTCTATAACTGTTTTTTACTTCATTTACTATAATTCATTGACTGAACAAGTAAGGCAGTGGTCGAGTTCAATTTTGAAAAAAAAAATTATCTCAATTTATTTCATTCATTATTCTTTCTTGGTGAAACTATTGGTGACTGGCAAAATCTTATCTATGGAATATACATTGTTGAATTTGTACTATTTGGAATTTTTTCATGGTGTTTGAACCTAGATTTCCTGAATGTTACCCTATTTTCCCTTATGGATCACATTCAAATTTTCTTGGCGAAAAATCTTAGGCAAATGTCAAACCGTCTTCCTTATGGAGAGTTCTCTCTTATTCCAATTCTTTAATCAATATCTCGAACGGATTCCTTCACTCGGAAAGAAGTAGTCCCAAATGGAGTAAATATTCTTATTTTCTTTATTTGTATTCGTTTCAACTTCATCTATTGTCTCCTATTTGCTTTCCTATATTATTATAAATTTGTCGTATTTGGATTACATCTCTAGATAAATTCTATTAGCTGTATGTCTAGCTTTAACTATTTGGAAATGGATACAGGACTTCAACCTCTTGATGATATTCTGAAAGACAAAGAAAAGGAGATCACAAAATTAAAGAAAAATTTGAAAGAACTAAATGAAAATTTGATTAGAGCAGCAGAAGCGGGTATAGTATATTGAATATGTAACTCAGAGCAAGAAATTGATGTGTGATTCTGAGACAAAGTTAGTTCTGTCAAAAAATTCTTTCTCGTGATAACAACATTTCATTTGACAATTTTGGTGTTGGGAAACTCCATTCTATTATATTTGAAAATTTTGGGGCACTCCAGGAGTGTGTATTGTGTTTCAGTATGGAGGTAACTAATCTTGTTCGCCTCTTTACATCAAGTTGTGTAAAGGGAATGAAACCTTATGGGCAGGGGGTATATTCACTCGGCTAACACAGACAATCCCTGAACTCGTAATAGAACTAAAATAAGGAAAATCGGAATAAAATTATGGCCCTACCCTAACATGGTACACACACTGCGAGACTACCCATTTTGGCAGTTTATCGAATATCAAACTAATATAATCACAGGATGCTTAAATCTTAATTAAATGACATTCATAATTACATACCACTGATTGAGATTTGTCTGATAATTAACTTTTTCAAATAATTTCGAATTTATTACAGAAATTTTTTTTTATCTTGGTTCCACCCCCTATGAAGCATTCTCAATTATCACTTTATTTAATAAAGGAAATGTACTCCTGGAAGAGAAATCCAATCTTGAAGAAATGCTGGACAATATACAGAGAGAAAATGGAAAAATTGTTGAAGACTATGAACAGGAAAAATATTCTTTGGAAAATAAACTTGAGGTGAAAAATTTGTGTATATTGTGTTGGAATTCAATAAGTAAGTATCATAGAAATTATAAAAGGAGCAACTTGATCTGTGCAGCAGGCCAAAGTGTTGGAATGGTGGCTACCTATTTTAAATGCACAAAGATATAATGTGGAAATGAATAAGCTAAATCAGTGAATCTCGAACTTTAGTCTTACACCCCTTCTCAAAAATAACTACCGTAGCTAACAATAAGCTATAAATAACAGATAGTGTGGATGGAACGTAAATCATGAAATGAATGAAAAGTTTTGAAATGTAAATACCCTAAATAAGGCGGGAAAGATCAAATCCAACAAATATTCCTATTTAGCTTCACGCCCCCTCAAAAATTGTCACACATTTTTTCAGGTGATGACAAAGATGAAAGCTCAAGTTGAATCTAATCTTCAAGAAGAGACGAACAGGTGGAAGACAGAATTTCAAAGGTTGGAACAGCAATTTAGGAAGAAACATTCTGATGAAATCGTTATGATCAAATCACGGGTAAGACATCTGCGAATCTCGTATGACTGCTGATTCAACATTTTGAAAATTCCCATCCCGGCAAGGTGGCGTATTCTAAGCGTTATGAATATGCGCGCCACCGCATCTCTGATTACCATGCGGTTCAAATTCCATGCATGGATAGTTATGTGCGAGTGGATTGCTGGACTCTTCGTTGCTGTATAGTGGGTCACGTAACTGATCAAGTCCATGCTTGTGAAAACAAATAACTGGCTAGCCAATACCCGACATCGACTGGTATCCTAGCGAGAGGCCGTGGTTCGTCTATGACTCAGGGACTTTATCGGCTTTCCTTACCCCCCTGACTAAATATGACCTCTGACCAAGTTTGATATACAGATGAAACCCCCAAAATAAATGAGCATGCCATCAAGGCCTTGTATTTTTTCATTTAAGATATAATTTTGAAATATATTAGGCAGAACGGCAGGAAGGTTGGTAGGTACTAAATCTTCAATTCTCTCACCTTTTTTACTTTGGATTTTGATTGTGATACAAATTTTATTTTTAATAAAAGCTTGATGATACTGCTAGTCAACTACAGCAAGAAAAACTGATGAACTCTCAACGTCTTTCTACAATTGAATTGAAAGAATCGCAAATCGAAAAATTGCAGAAAGAACTTAAGCAAATGCAAACTAGGTGATTAGTTATGTTATTAATAATATCCCAATGCAATATGTAATCTATTCAATCTTTTTTTGAAGTATTTGTAGTGTGTACATGCATGGAGGATTCTTCGTAAAGTTATATGGAATAGACTTGCTCTTTATAAGTGTGCCACTCTGAAAAAATTTCAGACCATCAAGTACATACTAACTTGGGGGCATGTTCATGTGGAAAATTTCATAAATCACTGTATTTTCATTTTGATCATATCTAAAACTATACAAATATAAAGGTCATTGTTTTTTAACATTTTGAGATGTACGTTTTGATCAACTTGGATGACGGCTTAAAGTCCTTAACTTTTTAATAAAAATGGTAACCTAGACTTGTCCCAGGATAAGTGTTAGATTATGAATCTAAATTTGCAATTGTCTGTACTCATTACATAGTGAACAACGATGTCACAAAAATCTTAGTTTGACCAAGTTCCAAAATTTTGGTAGCTGAAGTAGATGCTTCGTATATTTTTTGCAATTCATGCTATAAGACTTTATCAATCTTTGATATATAATTTATTAATTTTATATTTCCGCTCAACAGATATATCCAAATCACAGAAAATATTAAAAGACTTTTATCCTTTTTGGTAATCCCTGGTGTTTGGTTTTCATCGCTATTCGCTTGTCAAAAACTCAATGTTCTTTTTATCGATTTTGCCATTGTGTATTCCATTTGGTGGTTCTTTCATTGAGATATCTGGTATAGAAGTGTTACTAATATCTTGATGGAATTTCAGCTTGAATGACACGTTATCTAGTGAAGTTGCAGAATTATCGAATGATAATTATGAACTAAAATTGCAAGTTCAAGAATTGGAAATGAATGAACATGAACTATCACAAACTGTTCAGCAACTGAAAGAAATGGTGAGAATTTATGAAATAGGCATGATGGCTCCTCTTGGTTAGCATTATCGCCTTGAAGTTCCGAGGTACATTGGAACCTTGTAGCCACTATACACCAGGGGTGTGCAACAGGCGTGCCCGCGTACCACAATCCAGGGTACTCCTGTAGTATGCGAACCAAGATGGCGGAAACCGGAACGTAGTATGTGTACCAGGTTAGGGTTAGGCCATAATTTTATTCAAATTTTCCTTATCTTAGTTTTATTACATATTCGGGGACTAGCCAAGTGACTCCCGTAGTATTTGTACCTGAAATGACGGCCTAAACCTAAACTGGTACACATACTACGCTCCGGTGTCGGCCATCTTGTTTCACATTCGCCCCTGTTATACACCAATGGGATCTACATATCTAGTATTTGAAAAAGTTTGCAGCTAAATATTCCTCATGCACTATATATTTTCCTATTTATTTTTTGTATATTTTATTAAATTCCAAATTTTTAGATGGAAATTGCAAAAAATAATGAAGACAATCTTAGACAAGCAAAAGAAGATGCTGAAAGAGAAACATCGAGTTATTATAATAATTTAGAGGTACGAGTGCTTGCTGTCAAGTGTATTTTTTCCACACACCACATCTGTTTTTTCATATTTTACCTTTCTTTTCAGTTATGCAGAGAAGAATGTCGTGAGTTACAAGCTGAATTAAACATACTTAAACTTCAACCTAATGACCCAAATAGTAGAGGAAATTCATTGTTTGCAGAAGTGGAAGACAAAAGGGTACAAGCAGAAAAGAATTTAATTAGGTATGCTGGTGTCTTATAACTTGATGCAGCTAACAGCACCTCACAATTCGGTATTGAAATTGATTGATTACAGAAATTCGACTTTGCATAATGAGCAAAGTATTATCTACATCCCTAAATCACATATTACAATATAGACCGGACATGGGTAAAGTACGGCCCCCGCGCCAAATCTGGGTCATTGGGTTATTCAATCTGGCCCTGCCTGATGCTGCCACAACCAAACTGAAACCAAATTTCGATGTTTTAAGGAATTTGTTGAGATTGAGGTTTATTTTAGTTTTGGAACGAGGCTTATTGTTTTCGTAACACTGTAAATATTGTTCATAAAATGTAACTTTTTACGTCACACTCACATGGCCCGCCAGTCCAGGTGGGCAAATTCTTTGGCCCCTGGTTCAAAAACCTTGCCCACTCCTGATATAGACTCGCTTTTCATGGATCTCTATTGTTTATTGAATGTTATATGTTTTTTTTTACATATGTGTAGCAATTAGCGATGACTCATTGTGCTCAATGTTTGGAGGTTTGCCATTCGTATCTTCCTATCCACAATCCACACCCATACATATGAATTGGTAGTGATATCTGGACAGAATGCGATCACCATATAAATACATTGTCTTATCATCTTTCCTGCCTTGATAAATATAAATAATCTATACTAATTTAATGAGACCTATCCTTTAATTTTCAGTATGAAGTCAAAATACAACTGTATGCTGAGACAAAGTGATCAATTAAAGCATTATACAATGAAATTAAAGGTAATATTGTACTTCACATTTCTATTTAAAATGTTTTGAAGTCCTAACTACAAGATTTCAAATTTTAGATGCAAATTTCAGCTCTGCTTGAAACTCGGTCACGCACAATTGACCAGCAACATGTTAGATCTTTGGAAGAATCATTATCAGCTGCTCGGAATGATAATGCCAAACTTGTGCAAAAATTAAAGGCTTTTCAAGATAAGGTAAAATCTTGATTCAGTCATTTACTGGTATATATTTTTGAATTTCCCGTCTCATTGTATTAATCTGTTCAAAAAAAGGTAAAATGTTGAAAAAACCACAAAAAAAAGCTGCTTTATGACTTGATTTCTATTTCAAAGTTTGAAGCCATATTTACAAAAGTTTTTCAATAAAAACTTATGAAATATATGTTTCATCATTTTCTCAAAACTATTTTTTTTTAATTTTTCTCCATATAAGGCCATAAACCTATCCTAAAATTTCTCTCATCATTAGGGACATGTTTACAATCAAAGCAAAGTGCGGAATCTGAGTTAGGCTTTTCGATTTGATTCAATGCCAATATACCGGTAGTAAAATGACTGAAAATAAGTACCGGTAAATTGTTTGTAATTTCATTGCCTACCTACTCAGTTTTAACTTTGATAAAACAAAGAACTGACTTCAAAAAAGTTATTCGATTTTACAGTTAACGAGAAGAGGAGATGATCTTATTTCCGGCAGCAGTTCAAGCACAGGAGGTCAAACTGGTATGGTTCAGTTTTTCAAGAATGAACTGAAAGAGAAAAAGTGGGTTTAATTCAATTTTAGTGGGATAATTGAATAAACTTTTATTTTTATTTATTCTAATTTATGAATCGTCTGTGGGATGGATATCTCGCCTTAAGGTTATTTTATCAGTCGTATACCTGTTTGTTAATGTTGTAACAAAAGTTCTAGAGTCTTGCTTGCTGGCTGCTGCACAAATCTATTTCTGTAACCTTTCGTCTGACCAAGGTCAGATTTTGGCTCATTCATACAATAAAGCACAAGAAGACAAACAATATCCATGTTTTTTAGTTCGGAATTAGAACGAATCACAGAAGAGCTGCGGTTAAATGAATTATACCTTCGAATGGAATCGAAAAAAGTTACCTCATTGCAACATGATTTGTATGAACAAGGAAAACTTCTTGATGTTGCTAAATCTGCAAGATTTAAACTACAAGTGGAGATTGATAGATTGAAAATGAAATGTGGCGAAGATGGTAGTTTGTTTTTTGTCTTTTTCCAAAAGCATTCACTATTGTGTCCTTTTCGACTTGGACAGGACTGAAAGATCCAGTTGAAACATTTAATTTGCAAAGATAACAACTTGTTCCAATCCAATACTTCTAGGTCCTTACCATCCAATAAACCTTCTGACTTCTGTTCAGTCTATCAAAAATTTCTCATCCTTGGCTGAGAGCAGTGTTTCTTAAGTATCATTTTATCTATATAATACTCAACATGCCTGGTTATGTGTAAGCTAGACGGTTTATTCATGAGTACATTTTTATACTTCAAAAATTTGGCAATAAATTTTTTTTTTTTAGGAGGGTTTTCCTCCACACTTTCAATATATTGTACACCGTCTCATTTTTGTGTGTCTTTAGTTACGCTTCCTCGCTGGAAAAAATGTTTGTTGGAACATCTGTCAAAGTTAATATTGCTTCACATTTGTGTTTCAGTGAAAGTGAAGGCTTATCAACATAAATGGAAGTCGGAAAAAATATTTCCAAAAGAATCAGAGAAAGGTAATCTAAAAATGATAATTGTTCCAGTGGGCTTCAAGGTCTCATACCCAATGGGGCAGGGGGTAATCAATTTGGATTGTTTTATATCTACATTGCTGTGTCCAACAACAGATCGTGGCATCTCAATTTAAAATTTTATGTTAGTTTCAGATAAATCTCCTGAGCATACAGAAAATGACAAAGAAAATGAAGAACCTTTATCAACCAAAATCAGTTGCGACAAGACTTCACCAAAAAATTTTATTGAGGATAAAAACAGTTTTGAACAATCTCGCAACGAACCTCAAAAATCTGGTTCTGTCAGAAAGCCACTTGCTGAAAAAGAGGTTTCAAATGAGCAATATAACATTGTTAATGATAAAAATGATAAAGTATCAATTAAGACTGAATATGTATATTCTGATCATGTAAGTTCTGACACATCTGGAGAAGTAGATGTTAAAAAAGAAGTTGGTGTTTCCGAAGAAGCAGTACCGTCAGCAAAAATAGATTCATCTGGAAAAATTGATATAAATAACCTTGACGCTGGTAATGTAACTACTGCTGCAGATTGCAAACAACAGTGATGCGTTTTCGATGTAATAGCATCTTTTTCATAATTTTTTCATAAATGTAAAGACTAACATTTAAAATGTAATAATATTAGTGGATTAGACTTGTTTATTGGTCGCAAAGTGGACCACAGATAGTGTGGTTGGGGATAGTGAAAATATAGCTATTACAGCCAACTGAGGCATAGGTTCTCAAAGTGCTCCTTACGGATCTCCAGGGCATCGTGAGAAAAACCCAGGGGTTCCACGAGCTATTCCTTATTCAAATACTGACTTCGCTAATTTTGCAACTGTCCAAAGAAGCAATAAACGCTTTGAAAAGATTGACCTCTGTAGCGTCCAAATTTAAGTATGACATCTATAAGTTATAATAAATAATTTATTTTTATAAATTTATTGTTGGGCCCATGCATATAACATTTAACTTCTTCACAGGCTCCTTAATATACTAATTGATTTAAAATTTTCAGTACTTGGAGATAGAAAAAGTTGCAGGAGGCTATCGCTTTTATTTTCAAATCATGGGAGCTGATATATCGCCCACAATTTTGCTATTTTATTTTAATCTATGGGAACACCTTATTCTGTCACTCTTGTCCTATACTAGGTGCAAAGTAATAATCGGGAAGCACCAAATTTTTTCCGGGGAGAATCCATAGTTGGAAACACTGCTTTGGCGTATGGGTGCGTATAGCAAGCTTTCGTGTCAATATATTTGTGCTTGAATCTCCACAACTATTTTGCGACTTCGGAGGTACATGGATGTGGAATCTATACATGACTATTTAAAATTGAAATATATATATCTGTTAGGTTATCGTATAGATGCGGCTTTCTGTATATTTTCTATCACACCAGCTGCTGGTAATAGAAGTGAGGTGAAGTCGAAAAAGTTTTTATTTCACAAACAACGTCGACAAGTAAATATATATAATGTTGAATATATAAGTAATAGGTCGAGTGGTAGTGTTTTGTGTCTGCGAGTCTGCAATTTTTTTTTACTTAGTGCAAATTAAGCCAGGGGCAAGAGTACAAAACTTCGTTTATGTGGTAAGAGCGGCGATGCCCACAAACACACAGGCCTGCCTACCTAAATATATTAATGACGATAATAACCACCAGAAGGCAAACTGTATATGTGGAGTGTAAGCTAGTGAACGTGTGTTTGCTTGCCCATGGGAAACGCGAATACTTAATTGGCGAAAAAGAATAAAAGCTAACAAATCTGATTAGAAACGGCATAAGCGTATATTGTGTATTTTTATTGTTTGCTGGCTGGAACAATACATCTCTCTCATAAATTGAATTATGGCGTCTTTTGGACGTCATAGTAAAATTTTTGAGGTTTGCAGTTTAAAATAAAAAAAACACTCAAAAATGAATTGGTAACAGTATATATACAGCTGAATGTCGATACCAGGTTTCAGGCTACTTTGGCTATCGGTAAATTCGGCACTGTTTGTGAATTTTGCATTGGACATGCCCTTTTTCAGACGATGTATGATCTCTCAAAATCTTGGATTGCGGTTAATACTTTCAAAAATCAATATTTTATATCAATTGATTTCATGTATGGTACAATATGACGCCATGATAGCTTTTATGCAGTATATTTGACTTTATTTTTAGAATAATAATAAATCGCTCTGTGATCGCCAATTATTCAAAGTAAATTCGCCGGTTATATGTGGTGGTGTGGCGCATCGGGCTAAGCGTTAGGAACACCCATCGCATTTGAGATTACCCTGCGTGAGTTCGCAGAGAAAGAGAGAGAGATTTATTTTTCGTCAACCAGAAAAAATACTGAATTAGCCACAATACAAATATATATATTTATGCAATAACATACGTAAAGTTTTCTGGTATAGACTGGGAGGAGCGATACGACCCTTCGGTTCGAATCCACTGGGGGATAATTATGTGCGAGAGGATTGTTGGACTGGTCGCCGTCACAGAGCAGCGTTCCCCAAACTTTTTTTGGCCACGGTACGCTTACGCTTCTTATCTCGCTTCGCGGAACACTAAATATTAAAAGGGTAAAATTAATAAAGGAAAATGGTGCAATGCAGAGGTTCTAAAAGGATGCGCCGTAGATAGTTGCCAAAGCGAAAATGGCACCATCCTCAAATAGTTAGTCCGCTTTAGGCCAACGGTGACGCGATATTGAACGGTTGGTTGCCAGTTGGGCGACAACTTCACAATCCCGAGATCGCCATGGCGTCCAATTTAGTCGTAATTTTGATCTCTTTTCCCCGGAACACTTGGAAGACGCTCGCGGAACACTAGTGTTCTGCGTAACACAGTTTGGGAAACGCTGTCGTAGAGTGTTGACGGCAACCCGTGGTCAATCCTCCGCCATCAAGCCCCTACATCCGAGAACAAAAAAACTGGCTAGGTAATCCCATATCCGACATGAACTGGTAACCGGAAGAGATGCTGTTATACGCCAAGCCTTCTAGTCGGCCGGGATAAATATGTAGGCTATATCACATCCGAAACCGCGGGAGGATTGCTGAATTCCACGTCGTTGCAGAGCGCAATATTAGGATAAGATTCACATATTTATCCCGATGGTAATACCGATGGGACGGCTTAATCATATGGCGAACCACGGCCTTTCGTCTGGTTACCACTCCATGTCGGGTATGGGATAAGTTAGTTACTTGTTTTCGGAAGCATGGACATGAAGAAGCCGTAACCGACGAGCGGTTACGTGAACCACTCAACGGCAACAAGGAGTCCAGCAATCCTCTCGCACATGACTATCCCCGCATGGGATTCGAACCTGCGAACCCTAGCAGAGTAATCAGAGGTGCGATGGCGAGCGTATTCCTAACGATTAGCACGATGAGCCACACCGAAATTAATTGAAGTTTGATCGATCTTCGAATATTGTAAATTTGGAATCGATGGTGATCGTACGTTTGAACCCACGTACATTTGAACCCATACATTTGCACCCTTATATCCGCGGATTCAATCTATATGAGGATGCTAAAATCCATGGGTCAGGGTTAGTATAGGTTCAAATATCCGTAAAAAAAATTCATAGGTGCAATAGTATGCAGGTGCAATTGTCGTGGGTTCAAATTACTGGTTCAAATGTGATGGAACCGGAATCGATATGTAAGGGGAGAGCGATTTTCATAACAACAATCACCCCAACAACAATTCGACAAAAAGAGGTCGCGGAAGCGAACCTCGGCCATGTTCAAATAATTTATAGCCTACTCCAAAAATCGCGAAACAAAGATATCCGAGTGGTTCGAAAACGAAATATTAAGTTTCCAAGTAAAAAATTGGGTACTTTTAAATGCCCTGTTTATAGATATATTTGTACCCCCCTCAGACCAGATATGTTAAGACTAAGAAAGATAATAAATCTCATTGACTAAAGTAAAAAGTACGAATAATTACCTCTTTGCGTGTACGAGTATACGAGAAATTTCTAGGGCGTAATGAAAGGTTGTACTAGTATTACAAATTTATGAATTGGTATGCTAGTCGCATTTTATCCTAAATCTTCTGTCAATTTTCAACATATATGCTAGTTAACCAAGGAGAACATAAAATGACCTGTTATTTGAAATTTGTGGCCAGTGTTCAATTTATCTCTGCTCAAGTGAGGATATTTTTCGCTTTAGGACGTTGCAGAATTTCAAATATTTAAAAAAAAAATTAATAACAAAAAACATTATTATGCCTATTCAAATTGTCTAATTTAAAGCAATAAGTTATAAAATATTCTTTTCTGGCTGCAGACCGTAAATGTTTTTTGACTTGAAGTCAAATGTTGAACAACAAAATCTGCTTGATTATGGGAACGAGGTTCTAGTCACGTGACGTCCACACCCGCTAATGTCCCTGCTTCGTGGATATCGCTATCGGAAAGTGCGAAAATATTTCGTTACTGTGTTTATTTGTGGTATTTTTCACTCTGATTGCGCAAAACTCCTTGTTAGGGGCCAATTTTATAGAAAACTCTTCCCGCTTGCAGTTTAATTTTGAGAAAAACGGAGGAAATGTAAGGATCAGACTACTAGTATGGCATTGAAACAGTGCTAACAGCGCGGTTGTTACGTTTTCCGTCAATCATACGCACGTAAACCGCTTGCTTCGTATGGTTTGTAAGGCTATCAGATTTTATATAAAAGCATATAGTGTAATAGGGAAGATGTTACCAATCCTGTCTTTCTTGCTTTCCCAGGTTTTGAAAATAAATATACCATAGTGTAATGGTGAACTTTCAGACTTTGAATTTGAGTGATGAGGGCAGATTTGGGACTCACAGACTTATGACACCAGTTGGCATATTTCGGAATATAGACATTATTTTTTCGAATAATTTTATGATACCACCACAATCTGACAATACTATTTTATTGCTGTATGCTATTACGCAATTTGCCAACCATTCGCTAATCATTATTTCATATTCTAAAAAAAGTTTGATTTTAAGTCTGCGTTTTCCAGCTTTACACATCATGGTTTTCAGTGCATGAAAGTTGAAAGCATTGCTGCATCTTTAATTTATTGGAGATTATTTACAATATTTCCTAAACGCGAAATGAAGTGTTGTAACTCAGAAAGTTAAACAATACTGCAATACATGTGCAGGATAAGTTGACTTTGTGGATTTGGCAACATCTGGACAAGTAGTTGTGTCCATCAACTTTTGTTACATATATCTGTATTTCTATGTCGTTTCGACTGCTACCGTGTTTCCCCGAAAATAAGACTCTAGCGCGAAATTAATTTTTCTCTCACACATTTTAAATGAATAATAATCTATATTTAGCAGTTATTTCAAATGTAAACGTGTTATTTATTATTAAATCAGTAAATTGATATCCTGATATCGGTTTTCATATTTTGTTTATTTGAAAATCTGCTAATTCTCTACTTTGTAATTTTATTTTTGGTAAGTGAAAGTAAAGGACATCTCCCCAAAATAAGCCCTAGTGTTATTTTTCGAAAGAAGATTGAAATAAGACCCGGTCTTATTTTCGGGGAAACATGGTATCTGATGCCAGTATGTTTGCATTATGCTGGCAGATTTATTATAGCAGGGTGTATTTCCCGTACTGCCGTATGATACAGTAAGGCAACGTCTACAAGTCCAAGTAACGTTTTTTATGATATTTAGCCTAGATATTAAAAATAAACACTCTATTTGTTTGGTAACAGATGTCTGGCTTGTCAGCATGCAGATATCAGGATGTGCAATAATATAAATCAATTGTGTCGTGATTGGCCACCACATGACCAAAATTTGTGTCCGCCTATGTTCTTCCGGTAAAAACTCGAAACAATTTTTGGTTCTAATGGTCCAGTTGGGCCTCTTCAAGATTTCCAGTTTGTGATTTCTTAATATGTTTAAATTATCATGAAGAATTTTTTTTTGTCTTGCTGTTAAAGTTTTGAACACATTTTATTTTAAACGAACAATGTATTCCTGAGTCTTCTTGAGTGCAGAAGTGCGGCCAACAAATGAGCCCTGGAGCAGCCATATGTCCAAGATATCTAGATAGATGAGTTATATAAATATTCTCGTCCAGGAAAATTAATGTTATCCCGGAAAAAATATGCATGAAAAAAAAGATTTATTATCAGAAATTAACTCATCAGCTTTGAGTATTTTTTCTTTTCCCATAGGTCTCATGATTGTGCATAAGCAATATTAAGATTTTGAAGAACGCTGTTTCACACTAACCAAATTGCCAGGACTGCCATTAAACAATTAATATTGAAAGTTACTTTTGTTGAAGCCCCTTCTTATATGATCTTGGTCAACATTTTTGATGTCGTATCTTATCTCTGATTTGGTTAATTTGTTTTTTTTACTGATTATCACAATTTTCTTCAGATAGATGAAATTATTGAATGGCTTTATGCATATTGACAGGACAGTAAAATCGAGCATAATATAAGTGTTTTTATTGATTGCATTGCTAATTAGTCTTCCTAAATACTAAGTGAGAACATAACTGCAGATTTAAATATGGAATGGGGTAAAGCATGAACCTTTTCAATAGTTAAGACCAATTATAGCAATTGTAGGAGAAAAATATACACACACACTGACAAAGCTTACTGGGAAGAAAAGCTATGAGGGCAACCGAGGTCAAATAGATGAGTGTTTTTTGTTTTCAGTTTGTAAAGTACACACAATGTGTTTCTGCTTTGTTTCTTTGTTTTTCTCCTGCACAGTATTTGTCAACATTTCAGTTATACATTAACCAGCAAATTCAGTGCTTGCAACATCCTGCATTACAAAACTTAAGGTGAAACTGTCTCCTCACTTGTATCAATATGAGATATTTTTAGTATCAAAGTAAAACACTGATTTAGGCAATGGATTGCTTTGTTAACCATACAGGCATAAGAACTGGAAGGTTCTGCTTGCAGACTGGGAAAGTTTGTTGGGGTGCTACACACAATTTTATATAATTCGGATTGCTTAAAAATTTTACCCTTATTAATTTTATGTGATTTGTGATGTGTTGGTGGTGTACCAAATGTGAACAGATTTTCACTCACAAAGGAAAAGCCAAACACAAAAATCGTGGCCTTGTGGCCTGCTTGAAAAAGCTTTGCCACCAACTGGTAAGCGCTCATGCCAGTTGTAAAATGAGGCCTATGAAACCAAAACAATACTTTACATTCCTTTAGGATTTTATGACCTTGATATGGTTAGCAAAAATGAAAACTTGCGTCTTGTTCTTTTCATGGAAACCAGATAAATATAAGTTATGAGATACTGTTTTGGTTTTGGTAATTTGGTAACAGAGTATGTGTCTACTATAGATTCACAGACAAAACATTTGTGAAAGACTTTTTCTGGTACAGGAAGTGTAATTTGCTGTGAAATACATAACTTATATGAGGACAAGTTATTGAGGTTTCAGAACCAAAATTGTAAAACATCCAGTCTGAAAAATTCTCTGCAGAAGTCGCGGGGGAGCTGTTACTTTCATCATCATGTTGAATGTGTATTTTCCAGTCTGTATATTATGTACAATTTTACTTGAGAATGGTATATAGCGTAATGGTATGATAATATGTTTAGGATAAGTTCCAAGCGGTCTGTTAGAAATTATGTCATACACAAAAGCTTGTTGTCAATTGAACATCTACTGAAAATTTTACCACGTCAGCAATTTAGGAATGACATAAATTGTCTAACTGATGACAGTTGCACTAAATTCAGTACAATGATGGTACTAGTGGGGAACGTGTTTGGGCCAGAAGCCATTATCGAGACTATGTTTCAAAAATCTATTTTTGTATTGATTTTAGTTATTGTCATGGTTACGACAAGTTTTGTTTTGTAACAGACTGGTATAAACATTGTTGCATCATTCATTTGCGGATAGCCTATGTAACAAATATATTCGGCTCTGTAAAATTTCTATCAAAATTTTTTAGTATAAGAGCGACTGTTACTTAAAATGACCTTTCTGGAGGCAATTTTTTAATACATCATTTTTTATTGATATAATCTTTGTTGCTTTGTCGCAAAGTCTTGTATTTATTCTGTTGCCGTGAAAATATACATAGTTGTCAGCGTTCCAACTCGCTAAAATGCATCAAACCGTTTACAACATTTTTTGCTAACATTATTCTTTGTGTAAAAAGAATTTGAGCGAATGTGACATATTTGTTGTTCAAGTATAATTTTGATTAAAGTGTGTATATTCATTTATATTTGTGGTGTTTTTGCAAAATTCATAAAAAATAGCTTCATATCGAGTAGAATTTTACAAATTCACTATTATTTAACAAACTTTACTAACTTGATAATATAATAAAGAGAAGGTTGTTAATTGTTATATTTTTTGATGAAATTATGCTGTGAAATGATCTGATTTTGCATATCCTGTAATTATCCTTGGTGGTGTTCTTTGAAAATGCGATTTTCCAATGAAAAATATTTTTGTAAAATCATTATTTTTTCGGATCCAAGATCTGAATCAATGTGCCGTATCTCCATGCTTGACAATCTTCCAAGTTCACTAAACTGTCGGCCATCCTAGTTTGAATATTTTTTTACAAACAGTGGTGCGGTAAAAGTAATTCCAATCACTGTATCATTGCATTAAATTATCTTGGGAATTGACGGTGCCGTTGATTCACACCTAGATCTATTATGCAATGGTAGAAAATAAGTATTAGAACGTAATGTCAGTTTTGGGAATTTCTTTACACATTTGACCTGATGATTAATTTTTGACCGACCGGTTTTATGAACTTCCGGTGGGTATTGAGAAAATGGGTCCTATTCTGAGAAGGGTATTAAGTAAAACTTAATGTTATTAACATAATGTGCTATTGTGAAGGAAGCTTGTCTCCCCTTTATTATGGATAGATTTAACTGCACTGAGTGTACTTTATCTTTAAAAATCATTTGAATATCCTTTAATTACTATATTGTATAAATTGTGGACTTCTCCACCTTTGTGTCTATCTAATGTTACAGGCAAACCCGTATATAAGTGATCATTGAGATAATGAAACTTTTCCAAAGTGTATGTTTTTGAGCTTTGGTACCCTGCAGGGATATTTTATTTTCTGGAGATAGATGGTTATGTTATGATTTTTCATTATTAATTGATCAGTTCTGTTAGAAAAGTTAATGATGCTATCTACTATTAACAGTTCAATTTTTCTATTCTAGTTATAATGTTCATTGTGTGCAAGGTGAAAATGTATTCTGAACTGAAGTAAGTAGTGAAGACCAAAAATTGTGATATTTAGACAGTTGATGATGAGTACTTTCAGCCCCAATGAGCTCCAGTGTAACCCCAAAAACAGAACCAATAAATTTCTCAATTTCTACTACTATTTTTCTACGAAAATGAAAAAATTGATTTAACACTTTAACTTTTGTTTGTGTAGGATTGGGGGTATTCCCGTAGCGTGTGTACCAGGTTAGGGTTGCAATAATTTCATTCCAATTTTTTTATTTTAGTCATATTACGAGTTCGGGGACTGTCTGTATTAGCCAAGTGAATATACCCCCCGCTCATAGGTTTCAGTCCCATTACACAACTTGATTTGAAGTAGGCGTTCTCTCAAATATGTTTCAAATGACCTTGATTCTGTTTTTCTTGGATCACTCTGTATACTATTTGGGAACTAGAAACCTGTAACCTTAATTTTAGCAAATAATTAAATCATGTCATCCAGCCTCTACTGAAAACATTCCCAAAAACTTTGGAAATTTTATTCCTCTCAGCCCTAACCGAGGAATATCGGAACTGGGAATCTTACCAGAGTGAAAACAAATGTGTCAGATCAGACTAGAATTTACACTGTTTCCTATTTTTTTTGTTGTAGAGCAGTAGGCCAGCATTTGGAAATACCATACCAATCAGTTAACGTACGGTACTGCATTGGCAGTTCATTGTTTTGCGTTTTTTCTTGGATAAATACCATGGTTGAATATGCACATATTATGGATCGGGATTAATCAAAAAAAAGCCACGATTTCATAGTAGCAGAAGATCGCCAGAGATCTCTTGTGACGGTTCATCTCCAATTCTCTACTTGTGCTTGAAGCTCAAAATCACTGTGACCAGAGAACAAGTGAACTGAAGTCGTTAAGGGTAGGTGGTATACTATACAGTGTTGAGTTTCTGCTCCGAATAAGTAATTTTAGAAGCAAGTTTTAAGGGGCTCTGTTCAGATTTTTTTTAAAGAAAATATGTTTTCTAAATTCTAATGCTCAAAATTGTTTTACAAGCTGTGATACCTAATGAAAATCACACTTTAATTTCACTGAGACAGCGTTTCGATCTAATGCTGACGAAACTCGTATCTAATGTGGACCCTAAAATAACATTATGATAAACCGAGGCAGTAATATGATATAAAAATTATTTATTTTTAGATTCAACTTCAGATGTTTTCCATATTCATAACGGTAAGTCACTGTCATTTAGGAATTGTTGGGATAACCTCTTAAACTTGTTTCATAGTTTGATATTTAACAAGATCAATAATCATGTTCAGCACGCTAGATTCTAAATTGACTTATTTAGGAAAGTATATCGAAAATTTTTTACAGATAATCAGAATTTCAATGGAAAAGTATGCGTTTTTGGAGTGACTGATATTTATATGTCCTTCCTCGTTGGTTAGGCACTGAAATTAATATGACATAGGATGGGGGTTTGTATTGTTTCAATTGATAATGGATAGAACTTTCTTTAAATGAAAATTTTGCTAATCAAATTATTTGTAAACCAAGGAATAATAACAAAACATAACTAATTTTGAATGTATTAGAATATTCGATGCATTTTTGATGTTCTGATCATTGATTGTCTCGATAAGCAGAAAAATTGTACAAATCAGTGTGCATGAGGGCCAGTTACTAAAAAAATACAGGTTAAAGTGAAACCTAATTTAGTCCTACTCGGCCAATATCAATTCGTTGCTTGGAATTCCAAAATGTTACTAGATAAAATATAATCAACTTTGATTGCATTCAGTTTTCACTTTTTTTGAACCTTGTGAAAAGCGGCCAAAACGGACATTTTAGAGAGATGTTGCTAGAAACAATACAATGGTATTTTGTTATATAAATCCAGAAGTGAGAGTAACAGGCAGCAGATGTGTGACGAAATTATCGCACAGAGGCTGGGATAATAATACTATACTTTTATCAGTTGAAGTGGCTTTATGCGTCAAATTGATTACTATTCATCTATATTCTTGTGGTATTAACAGGGAGAAAGGAACACCTTGCATTAGATCTTTTTAAATTTTTAATGAATTTTTTATATGACGTCATCGCACTTTTATATAATGACATTGGTTTAGAACAATTGAGAATATATTATTCCGTACTCAAGATTGTTAGTTACTATATATATAGCTAGCTTTGGTTTAACTTCATCATATACTGATGATACAAAAAGTCATTAGGTAGGAAGCGTCAAAGGACAGTCTTGTAATGTAAAATTTGGGATGGAAGTTTTTTGTTATCCAGTATTCTAGTTTTATTTTGCACTTTTATGATATGCTGCTGTAGATAGAAGTCATCACAATTTTGATTAGAATTTCATGTTGTGATTTGCGTTTAAATATGTTGTTGTCCAAGGTTAGATTTCGACAGTCTTTTCATGTTTTTTTTTTCATGTTTATTCATGGAACTCTCATTCCCTAATTGTTTTTTTTTTCGCTTCGATTAGAGAAGAACACCCACTTTTACTTGCTCTATTGAAATATTTATTTTAGTTTTTCCCGATTCATTTAGTGTTTTTTTTTTTCATCTGGATTTGGTAAAGAATAGTAGGTCATTTTCTGGTTTTTAATTAAGTGAAGGGTATAGCAAATGCCTTGTTAAGAACAATTCATATTGATTATTATAAATTTATTACTTTGGCTTTTGTTTTTTGAATTAAATTAGCGACTGCTTAGAGATTTCCAGGCTGAATCGAATATTTAGAGATGATCATAATTAAAGATAGGAAATTTCACATTTTACGAGTAATACAGAATATCTTGTGAAATTTTTTTTTAAGCCATGAATTGGTCATTGCGTAAACTGTCTTGTCATTGTTGTCAATACTTCACACCGCTATTCTAGTATAAACTTGCTTTTTATCAATGTTCCAATTATCTTTTTTCCAGAAACCTCATAGCTCGCCGGCACGATGATGGGGTGGTGCTGCTCTCGACCCCGGGGCAGTCCTGATGACGTTAACAATCCAAAATTTATTAATAAACAAATTAACGATCGTATTAATAAGGATAAACAAGAATACAGAAGTACTCATCGTCTACTTTTGCTTGGTAAAGTGTTGTTTTCAGCTTTTACTAATAAAAAAATTTTGAATTTTTAAAAATCTGAAATTTTCACATGAAGGAGTTTTCTGAATACCAGTATCTGCTTTATACAGGTATTCCACATATAGCCTACATATTCATCACAACAACATTAGAAAAAATATTCAGTTTATTTGGCGATAATTCTTATTATATGACATGCTACTTTTTCTGATGGCATGATAAATTACTGTTTTTTCAATGAATTTTTCAAAATATTTCAGGTGCTGGCGAGTCGGGGAAGAGTACTATTGTGAAACAAATGCGAATTCTTCATGTTGATGGTGGCTTCAACGAAGAGTACGTATTCCAATTAGTGATTATTAACATTATATTATATGTCCACCAAATTCATGAGGGGGTCGGAAAAAGTAACTCAGAAATTGTAACCCATGATTTATGACTGTAGTTATCAAAGTAATGAGTTTGTTGTTTAGAATGCAATTGCATAAGCAAAATCTGTTGTTTGCACAGGAGCGTCATCCAAAATTCGATGGGGTTTTTGAATTTAAAATGATTAAATTAGATAAGATTTCATATTCGATGGCTAATTTTACATTTTATACATTTCGGTTTTCTAATCTCCTATTGTGTTTTTCCTTTAAAATCGTTTCATACCTTTTTATTAATTAAATATTTTATACAATTTTTTTTTAGAGAAAAGAGGCAAAAGATGTTGGACATCAAGAAAAATATTCGTGATGCCATGGTGGTATGTCTCAATTCTTATTGTTTTTAAAAAAATCCAATATTTTGTGAGCTGACGTTTCTATGAAATCATTTTTATTCTGAATTTGATCGTTATTCGTTACTTTATCGAACATTTTTTTTTAAATTGAAATGGATTTGAATCAATCTTAGCTATTTTGTATGATCTTTTTTTTTTTAGAATGAACAATATTTATTGAGTTAGATTCTAATTTATAATAAGTGACTTTACCAGATAAATCTCTCTTCCCAAATGACCATTTTTCATTTTTTTTTACTATTTTATTTTGCAGGCGGTAACCGGTGCAATGAAAACTCTAACCCCTCCAGTGGAATTGAAAAATAGTGAAAATGAACCTTATGTCGATTACATTCTCACAACGTCGGTTAATTTTAAAGAAGAAGAAGACTTTAATGATGTATGTACCGAATGCGGTACAAATGCACCAGTCTATTCAGTGCAAAAATTTAGTTTTTTAGTAAAAGGGTATAGGGCTAGGAGATTTAAAACCTTTTGATTCGCTCATAAGCAGTGTGGGATTCATTAATTCTTCTATATTTAAGCTGTGGTATTCAAATAGCAATACAGGTGCCAGCTATTGTTGCCAGCGTTGTTTCCAATGAATGTTTCCCGACCTTTGACCCCAGGAAATTTCTTCTTATACTTCAACATAGCAAAATTTTTGATGCTTATTTTAAGAGTGGTTACATGACTTGGCACCTATACACGGGTTTATGTGTTTCAAACCATTTTGATCTAAAATGAGGCAATTGTTACAACCATGCCAAAGGTGTCTAAGCGACTGCTAAATTGTGATTGCTAATTCACTTTTTGTGTCTTGCTGATTAATTAGCCAATAATACGGAAGTAAACAAGGAAGTCAATGCTCGGAAAACATCCATGAACTGGCTGGTTTTTTGCTATTAAATATATACTGGCATACCAAGCCTAGCGATAGTCAATTTCTTTTTGGGACGTTTACCAGTGGGCTGAAATCATTTTCAGACTTTATCAACAGCAAAATAAGTTTCCATCCTATTTAGATGTTTCCATCTGAAACTGATGGTTTTAAAATATTCTTGGCAATTTCACATCAAATATGATTTATTTTCTTAGTGCCTTAGTGCCTGGTTCGAAATGGTTATTAGTGATAGTAATATTATTATAATGAAGTATTCAATAATGACTATGTACACTGCTTGCATTCACTTTGTCGCAAGTTATAAATCTTGTATTGCAAACCATTTTCAGTTTTGTCGAGGGCTCTGGATCTTGTTTTGTCTGAATTTGCTACTGTTTGTGAAAGAATTATATTGTCTGTATATCTATAGATCAATCTCATGCTTTCTACATTTGTTTGGCTAGTAAGATTTATGATAAATCAGGGCGGATTATGCTAAACAGATTTAAACCAAGAAGTACTGCAAGCTGATATAGCACGATAATATGAAAGTAAAAATGACTCGATGCAGTCGATTTTTTTCCTTTGATTGATAGAAGGGTTTGAGTCTGAGAGTAATACTAAAACTCTTCCATTTACGTTTTGATAATAGAAGGTTAAAAATTGACGTATAACAAGTAAAATTACTTCAGAATTAGGTTTCCATATTTTCCCTATATCTACTCATAAAATGGCGTCCATTGGACTGAGCTATTCATCCAATGGGATATATTAAATTTACCAACTATATTTTCAATGAATTAAGGAATTTTTTGCTATTACTCGGCTTTTTATTGCTTATTATTTATTATGGCTTTTTTTTTCAGAGTTTCTTTGATAAAGTCCAGAGTCTATGGTCAGACGAAGGAGTACAAAAATGTTTCGAGCGGAGTAACGAATATCAGTTAATTGACTGCGCAAAATAGTAAGTGTCTAACCTTAGAATCTTGTGTTATATCATTTATTCAACTTTATCTAATCAATGTCTTATATCTGATGATAAATTTTTGACTCTTTGCATGTAAAGATTCGATTAAGAAAAACATCTGCAACGCGTAGTCTGCTTCATTTTATTCTCATAATTTTTTTACTTGATTACATAGCCTGCAAAAAAAAATTTGTAACTGAGATTTTTCCATGAACTGTGGGTTTAAAGTACCCATAGTAATTTTTGTTTGAGGCTAAGAAGATAAAATATTTCTAATTTGGATAAAAAATTGTTCTTAATCTGTTAAAACGGTAAGTATAACATTGATTTCAAAACATAAGGGCGAACGCTGAGATTTCAACAAAGAATTTTGTAGATGCTTTTAAAAAAATGTTTTTTTGAAAAAAAATTTGAACAACATTCAGCACAGTATTTCAATGTTTGAAAATATATTTTTTCCTTATTTTTTCTCAAACAGTTTTTTCAGGTTTCACCCTTTTGTTGGGTTGAAGTCCTCGATAAGTGGTCTTTGGTCACAATCCAATGGACCCTTGTATCTAATGGAGTCGAAGTTACTGTCAATATGGTGTTATATATTGTTAACTTGGTCATTGACTTCCAACTCATATTTTTTTTACTTATATATATATATTTTTGCATTAAACTTTATTTTATTTTTTATTATCTTTACAGCTTTCTAGATAAAGTTGAGATCATAAGATCTAAAAGCTATTCACCTACAAATCAGGTAATTATGTCTATTCATTGTATTTTCCAAATTTGAACTTTGGAGTTCCGCCACAGCATATAGCATCCATCTTAAAATCATTTTATATATGCTATTCACTTTTTTATGCAATATTTTCAAATGTGGAGATTTCAGAATATAGATGTTTGACGTATATTTTATAATATTTGTGGTAGATTATAGCGATTGCTACACTCTACAGTAATTAGTCAATTAAGGAAGTTGAGTTGCGTATCACAATATTTTGTAGCGTGAATTTCATCAGTCAGCCAGGAACCTTGCGTCATTGTATCACAATATAACAAGCACCAATCAAAGTTAAAACGAGCATACGGAAGCTTGTTTCATCACTGGATCGGGCTTTCGCAATCTTATTCTGCATTACAGCATAATTTCAATGACTGTTTTGTATACCATGCTATAAATAGACATTTGATATACCATAGTACCGGTATAGACGAACTGTTTAATAAGTAACTAAACGATATATTTAGAACGCGGTTATGCATACTGTACAATGAGTACAAGGCCTCGTTTTGTTTCAAATTCAACATAATTTATAAATGATAACATAACATGAAGGTGCACTTGTTATTACTGGAAATGTGTATTTTCAGAGTCTATTATTTTGGATATTATGAACCGAACGTTTCAGTTATTGAATATATATCAATAAATAAACTGATAATTTATTGAGGTGTGTTGACTATTATGAATTGCTCGAAATATCACTCACTATCCGGTGTTTATGATTTGAAAGCTCGTTTCTTAATAATTTGTAAGAATATTTACTTTTTTGTCTTTCGGAAATACATCAGTAAAAATATTTTTGTTGTAGATTAAAATGAAACATCAAATCCATAAATAAAATAGAGCCCCAGTGGATAATTTAAAAAAATAAAAGTAATAGCCTTCTAACGAAATTCAAAATTGGTGCTTCCTTTTTTAATTTCCTGCGTTTTCATTTACTATGTTCATTTCAAAACGTTATGATGCTTTTGGGAGGAAAGGACCTTTCTGAGTTGTTAAAGCTATTTGAAATGTTCATTGAAGATTTTACGACTTGAGACAATGTAGAATAAAGGACCTTAGTCAAACAATTTTTTATGGTGAACTGTTCATTGGAAATATTCCCATATTCCAGGCTTTAATAAGCTTATCATTTCCGAGAATAGATGTTGTATGTTTCTATTTTTAAATTTTTATCGACCAGTTAAGGAGTTTATTTACTCAGTTTATGGTGCGCTATTATTATACTGGCCCTCCCACATTGATATATCAATGAATTTTTGGAATTGGAATTACACAAATTCAGAAATGAGGAAATTATAGGAAGTACGTTTTTTATATAATCTTTGCCGGTTTTTTTTCAACGAGATTACGGTTTATTTCAGTGGCTCTCACGGTTTATTTCAGTGGCTCTCACACTTTTATGATCCATGACCATCTTGAAAGACTTCCAAAACTGCTCTTCTATGAAAATACCTAGTTTTACTTTTATTAATGTGTTTCCATTGGTTATGCGCTGTGTGTAATGGTACAAAGATAACAAGCGAAAGCAAAGAAGAAATGCAGTGTACGCAAAGAAAAAAGGCAAATGGTACTTTGTGAAGGGCTTCGGTCATGGACCCACTCCACGATATTCATAAATACGTATAAATTTTTCTGAAAGTGCTATAATTATCCAAATTTTAATATTCACCCTTTTATTGGAATCGTAAATCCTTTTAAGTTAGTAATTTGTGACATTTATTATGTGCAATTCTAGCATATTTATTCAAAGTTTCCATAATCATGTTATTCTGGAGTGAGTGGCGAACCTGTGTCATATTGTCATAATTTTTTTGATATAATAATAGAACGGTGCTCTGTTTACTTGGTGAGGTGATGTGAAGGCCGGGGCGATTTTATAATGTTAGCTGATATACCGTTTTACGAGACTATGTCAATATTACCAGAAATAATGTATTATATTCTGTAAACGTGGATCATAAATTAGAAACCTGGCTTTAGCAAACACCCAAACCTTCAATCCTTTTTGTTACTCTTATTAAATATTGTTGAATGGGAGTTTCTATATTAGAGATGACAATTTTTCTCTGACCGAAGACTTTATTTTTATGAATCAAAAATGGGGCTTTCATATATCCATACTGTTTAAACACTGACAAAGCATTATTTTATTAAGGAATTTTGTCAGAGATGTATCATGAATTTGGTGGATTAAACATAATTCGTATTTATTGCCATTTGTAGAAGTGATATTTGAACTAATTCAAATAATCAAAATTCTGTCAAACTTCATGTTTTCTTGTGAAATTTATATGGACGTTAAATTTTACAATATAAAATTTGGTAATACTGTGGATTTTGCAGGGCTGGCAAAAATTTCCAAGCGAAATACCTTGGTTTTTGCGTTCTGCGTTCATCCAGAACATATGCTATGTGCCTTATACTCACTAATTTACAATTCACTCATTCACAATTCATTTTAAATTTTATTGCAGAATATCCCAATACTCACTCAACAATTCTCACTCGTTTTCAATTTCTTCTCAATTATTTTGCAGGATCTCCTCAGATGTCGTGTTTTGACAAGAGGAATTTTTGAAACCAAGTTTAATGTCGAAAGAGTTAAATTCCAGTAAGTTTATTTGATTTTTTTTTTTAACCAAAAATAGGTTGCAGATTTGCTGCATTTTGGGTGGGATATCCTAGGTGATAAGGTTTAGCAGCAGAATTCGGCAAATTGGTTGCTTAGCAGTTGAGAATGCCAAAAAAATTAATTTATTCGTACTTTGACTTTGGTTTTTTTTTTTTTAATTTTGATAATACTATAATGGATACTAAATTTTCATGCGTTTACTCTGAAGTAGGCTCTGTAGTGTGTACAATCATCCACTGATGTTATGTAAGGGGTATTGTTAATAATAAATGAAAAATTGGAATATGATTCTTGATTTATAGTTTCGTTAAAAAATCAGATAAATTGAATTCGATAATGTAATACAGCAGCATTAAAGTTAGCATATAATTTTACTGTTTATTTACCACACATACGATCCATGAAGAAATCAAATGTCCATGTGTGATTGATATCAAGTGAATGCCAGTTCGATTATGATTTCAAAAAAAGTCAAATTAAATCTTGATAGATTTTTATTTTTTCTTGAAATAGTATTGAAATTTAAGCTTTCACTTTCTAAAAAATACATGCCCAGAAGCAAATTTCCAGGATTTGAGTTAACTTTTAGTGAAAATTTGAGATTTAACAAGCATTTATTTGCTTTATCGAATCAAAATAAAAGTTTTCTAGGTGGTAATAAAGTGCGAAATTAGGATTATAAATATTAATAACCACATCAGATGACATATTTACATAGTTTTGCTCCGAAAAAGATATAAAAGGCTAATATAGTTTGGAAGAACGGAATCTTTCAAGTGCGGCATCATCACCTATTTTATTGCATTATGGGTGAAGTGGTAGGCATTGGATAAGTTTAACCCTTGACCTTTAATGTCGAATGATTGGTTTGTCAATTCATGACGGATTTCACATATTTTATCTATGACATACTGTATCACCTCTCTCATTTTAAATCCAAATTGGTAGCTTTCAATTTGACTAGCTAAAAGAGATGGCTAAAATAGTTTAGCCGGTTCAACTTCTTTTGGATCAAATTAACTTCTAGCGGTAGAATCAGTTCTGCTTCCAAAGATCATATTTCTATAAATAGCACAGTAATTTTCTTTTCTCTGATATTTGAGATATTTGATATTAAATTTGAAACGAGCGTTGATATTTTCACCAGACGGTATTTACCTACATACAGTTCACATCAGATCAGATGATCTGAAAAAACACATCGCCATCAAAAAAAATTTCAACCTTTGCATACCTGTTACAAAAATAGTACGGTAATCGCTGAGATAACAGAATATAAGTATACTACATTATGCATATTCCTAAAATATCCCCAAACGAAACCTAAATCTGTTTTCATAAATATATTTTTCATTTTGCAAATGATATTCAGAATACTTTTTTTTTTGTTAAATTTGCATCTTTTTTACGCAGTGAAATCAAGAATATTATGTTAAGTTATATAATAAATTCTAAATTGCAATATGTTATATTCCTAACATTTTTACTTTATTTTTTGAAGTTTGGGATGTTTTGCCAAGGCTTCATCTGTTGAGTAGTTATTTATGTTTTCTGTACTTCACTTTCTTTATAGGAAATTGCATGATAAATATTTATTCTAAAATCTGGAAATATCGTAATTTCAATTGAAAACAAGATGAAAAGTTTCTCAGGAAATCGTCAATTTGAAATTCTTCGGGTTAAATCCCATGTCATCAGGGTGTAGTATAATGGGTAGGATATACCTAGCAGGAAAAATGCCGTTTTTCAAATAATAGTAGCTTCGTGCATATGTTGGATATCACCTGCTCGAGGCCTTGTTCATAGTAGAAAGCATGAATGAGCATTGTTAATAAAGATTTTAATTTTAATTATCAAATTGATAATTTTCAGTTCATAACTTGAAATTTCGTGAAAATGATTCTTACGTAAGTCTCAACCTAAGCAGTATTGAAAAGAAATTTGGTCATCTAACCACAAATCCTCGTTATTTTTTCAGTCCCACCTCCATTATTTACATTACAGTAACCTACATCCTATTGTGTACAGTACCATTTGCATTTTGCAATCAATACTCATTTCACCTACTCTGTATTTTTCAGTATGTTTGACGTGGGAGGCCAGAGAGACGAAAGAAGGAAATGGATACAATGCTTCAATGGTATGTTGTTGCTATCGAATTGTAACAGCATGTTCATGCTATAACATATGCCATTTGTAAATTGAAACTCAGTTGTATTATGGAGTAGTTAACTTTTTTTTAAAACTTTTATTTATAGTAGGTAGTTAGCAAAATAGGTGGGGTATTTAAAGGTTGTCTATGGTTGCGTAACATTTTTTATTTTTTCAAAACTTAAACCAATCTTACATAATTTTTGTACGACTGTTTCAACGTTCCAAGATACCGTTACCCAACCCTGTTACACTGATATTTGTTGAATATACTTTGCCACATCTATAAAGGGCTACATTATTACCAATAGTTGTTTTATTTCAACTAAAAATTAGAGTTATTCGAACAAATGTTATCTAAATTATCCCTGGGTTTCAATGTTATAGAAACCTTGGTACGAATAGCATGTTACTAATTCATTACATGGCAGAATTCTCAATGAATCAAAATCCAAAGACGCCAGCAAACTCACTAGTGCGCTTGCGAAACTTTGTGCAATACTGACCTTGTGCATTTTCAATGTCCCATACCAGGCCATGTGTAATTTAAATTGATGGTGTCACCAGAGTTTAAATGCTGTCTAACAAAAAACCAATATATCATTTCGGCATTTCAAGGACAGATTTCAGTAGAATGTTGTCTTCAAATTTGCTTAAGTTTATTTTTAGAACAAAGTACACATCTGTAATCTGATATTGATTCCATTTTCAAATGGTAACAGTATGAACAGATTTCCAGTAAAAAGGTTGTTAACCGATGTTTTCAGATTAACACAGCTTGCATGCAAGGAACTGTTTCACACCTAGATTATCATCCATTACCCCCTCTCTCTTTTTCACAAGGAGAGAATTTGAGAATTTTTTTTTCGATAATAAAATGGTGGCCCAGTTTGATAAGGATTTTGTTCTATTAATATTATATGACTATCAGGGACTCGCGGTGGCCGAAACCAAATATTCCACTATTCCGAATACATTCTGAAAAAATATTTTCAAACATGGAATATCGTAAAACATTCTAAATTGGGAGCGAGGCTATGTGGAATATTATATACATCAATATATCTTCATATTGATAATACCCAAAACGACATAAATTATGTAAGGTCATTGCTTTGTGTTGTTTGTTATCAGTTGAGATATCATACTTGTGAGTTGTGAGATATGTGCTTGTCTGGTGGCTTGAAATCTCTTATATTCAAATTAAAGATATCCTAAACTTTTTATTACTGAAATTCGAATGTATTCAAATATTTAATTTTTTTTGGATATCCCTGACTATCAGTCCTTCAAACATAAATGATGTGATAAATCATTTCTCTTTTATGGTTAAATCACTAGAATTAACTATGGCATCACATGTCAATCTCAACACCTTGTATTTGCAAGCTGGTGATGCTCGTTTATAAGACTATTTGTATGTACCCATATATTAGTTCCTACTTCCAATTTCAAATCTTCGGTTAGAAGGCTTTCTTAACCATACTGTTATCCTCATTGTATTAACTCAAATTGCTCCTAGTCCTGCTTCAATTGGTATTTACGGGTGTGTATTGCAACACCACAATTCCATATAGTTTTCAGTATATCTTGGCAATCTGCGTTTTAGCTGCCGCCCTTTACTGTGCTTAGAGTGAATATTTGCTTTGAACGAACTCTAAAAAAGGGTACATAAAGCTTTATGATCCATATGCCTACTATCTCTTTATTCAAAATATCAAAATCTCCAGGAATTATCTGTTTTTAATTGAACCATATTCATTTTACAGAGGTTACTGCAATTATTTTTGTGGTGGCCAGCAGCAGTTATGACATGGTATTACGGGAAGATCCAAGCCAAAATCGCCTCAAGGAGGCACTCGACTTATTCAAGAACATATGGAATAACAGGTTAGTAGCAGTTATTCAAATTTTCATTTGCTACTAGCGTTATTGAAGTTGAAAATTATTTCACTGGAATAGGCCTCGTTATAGCTAGAATTGATACAACTTATTTATTTTGATAGTAATGTGTGCAGTTGAGATTATTTTGTCAAAGGTTTTTCAAGTCTGGTTTAGAAATGAATGGCAAAATTTTAGCAATTTTCGTCACAGGACTCTCATGTTTGTAAGTAGTAGCCAGTAATTGCAGGAGGTCGTAAGCAAGGCTGATCAGAATCTTGGGGCATACCAGAAAAATAACATATATATATATATATATATATGACATTCATTTCAGTTTATCGGATGTAATAGATTTTATGAACAACATAACTAAGGCGATTCTATGAATTAACTGTGACGAGCACACTATCTAAATTTTGCTTGAATATTTTGTTGGAATATACACTGAAATAATATAATTTCTGTTGCATAAAGCAAAGTATAATAGTAAACAATAAACATCACTATGTTAATCATGTCGCTTTGACCAAAGTGCTGTCTAAAAAAGCAAAATTTCATGCAAAATTATATATTTGGTGTTTCATTCATAGTAGCAATTTGTGAATATCCCATCTCAATTTTAAGAGTACTTATTGTTGCTTGAATACAAAATATACACACACATGTACTGGTAGGGCATTGTACTAAAAGTCCATCTACTTGCCAGGATCATATAAAAAGTATATTATTAAATGGAAAGTAAAATAGGATTACTTACAAATGTTCCCAATTGTATAGTATATTTGGCATAATATACAAAGAATTCGACTATATTTTAATGACAATTGGCAACAATATTACATGCCTTACTATGGCAACATAGCCGCTATTTTTAGTTACTGGCTTTGTTTCGCTTGCAAATGTCTCACCACAATTTCATTTAATTCACCTGCACGAAAGAGCGGGCGTCCCGCCCAACCAGCAACCATAAAAATTACCTTAACGAAAATAGCTTCCTCCCACCCGCACCTGCTTAATTTCATGTTCTCCCGTTTATTTCTTTAATATAAAAAATTGAGAGAGTGAGAATATGTAAGCTTGTCTCAATGTATACAATCGTTGTGCTATAAATAGATTTGGAACTATAAATAGCACGGCCTACATAAATAAGTTCCACTTTCTCTCTCTCTCTCTCGGGCATTTTTAACAGGCAGTCACGTTCTTGCTCTCTCATATTTAATAAAGAGAGAAAGAAAGATGCCCGCCGTCACTCTCCACTCTCGTTTTCTTTCCATTTTCTCTCTTTTTCACTGGGCCGTGTAATCCCATAAAAAGGAGAGAAGGAGATGGTTTCTTTAGGCAGTAGTCTACAATGTACACTCACTATTGCATTGTGTCTCAGAATTTGTAATCAAATTGTCTTGTCCAGATATGTTTTAATCTCAGATATGTTTATTGACTAGATACATCCCGGCTTCATTTAAATTAGGCCATCAAATAACTCTCTATATAACTAATTTGAATGTCCAAAATCAATTTCAAATATCATTTCAATTCGCAAGATTTATTTTAACTTTCTGGCTTTGGTTATTTGGCATGCCCTTTATCGACTTAATAATATAACAGAGTAGCCTACATGTCAGTTTAATTATATAGCTAATTTAATTTATTATATATTTAACAGTTCGCTATTGTCGTGTAAGATCACAGTTTATGTGCTACATATATCTATTGTGACTAATCCAGGCTTTTATATTTGAAAGCCTAATTCCATAAATGTGGCATTTCCTCAATGAATATAGACATTAATAACAGTGTATATGGTTTTTATGTATTTGTCAAGATTTATAGACTTTTTCAGTGTTAAAATATTGAGATGACATTTGTTTCACAATAAATCATTCAATAATTATTAATCGAAAAAAAATTCAGAATATTACATATTCAAACAAGTTCGTTTTAACATTGTTTTATTACTGTTTAAAGCTTGATTCGAAAATTCAATATGCAAAATAACAAATTGAATAATCGCTTCAAAGTAGTTCAGGATACTGGTGATAATTCAGGACATCCCGCTTCATCATTTTTGTACTTTTTTATGAATATATATGCAGATAACAATATTATTTATATCATCTATGCCAGTTTGAACCATCACGAACCAACGTACCTCTGATTCATTTCATACTACTTCCTTGTATAGCATCTACCTATTCAACAGCCAATGAAATATTTGAAATTATTTCAGTGCTGACTTTGGATATATATTGGCCTATGTGTTCAGCCACATTTAAAATAACTTATAGATTGTTGTTCTTCGTCCTTTGGTCATATCGAAACCGAATTTATTAAGAGGAAGGATTCCTATCCATTAGTATTTTTTATCATATAGTCCCAAGGGTTGGAAATTCAGAGGCACAATCACACATATTTAATTTGTGGGCAACTTGACGTGGAAAACAATATTTGTGGCTATGTGTGAATTGATTTTGTATACTTGTATTCTATTATCGTATTATTTAGTAAATATAACTGTAATATTGTATGCATTTTTACTGTTTTGAATACCTATAAAATTAAATCATCCTATCCACCTAAACATTTTCAATATATATATATAGTTTATACAAATAACGATAAATATCAAAGCAGCCTTGGAATCATTACTGTAATTTAATGAGCTGAGTTATTTTTGTTTAGTAAATACGTCAAAATATTTCGAAAATTGGCAATTAATGAATATTATTATGCCAGTGATATATCAAGCATTTTTTACTATAACAATGAAAAGCGTCATACAATTGTATTTTTCTGTTAATAACACCAGAATGCATACTCGAAATGGTTTTAGCGTTTGATTTTATAGTATGTCGCTTCTTCGGCTGGTAAACTGATTGAGCACACTTAGACATCATATAAAAGCGTGTAATGGTGAAGCATTGTCACTTGTTGCAAACGATTAAACTATGTTAACTAGATAACAAAGTAGCCTTTTACATATCAGTACCTGGTAGTTCAGATCCTGGTTTGACGAAAAAAATGAAATTAAGTACGCCGTATAAAAAAATTAACCATATGAAACCAATAGTACTATCAAGCGTGATTATTAATAAGATGAAGCACCATAATCATTAAACCTTTGAAGTAGTTACATGTTCTTCATACTATATTCTTCATGAAGTTATGACAACATTTCACCAGTTATGCTATTTCCATATTTAGTGCAAAATCATTACAGATTCGCCAGCAAATTACCGTACACCTAGCTATAATTTTCATATGGGGTTGAGTCAAGATTCCTTTATATTGAAAGTTGTTTTGTTATTTCTCAACATTTGTTGTGAGCTGCAATTGCAGATTGCTTTTTATTCCCTTCTAACTACGAGGTCAATGTTTTGACCTAATCAATATTCATGAAATTTCCCCAGCTAGCTAAAACATATACTTGAGTTATTGTAGGTGGCACTGAATTGACGGTGTTTTGCTGAGATAATAATTTAATAATTTTCCTTTTTTTTTTAATCTTTTGCCGCTTCTGAGATATTTCATTTAAATTTCGAGAAATTATGATTAGATATTTATTATCAATTTTTGAATCACCAGGAATACAGCAGGGACTTTTTTCTCGTTGTTTTAACTCATTGAATGGGAAGAAAGGTGTTATATGCCAGATAAACAAATTAAATTCTGTAAATTGTAGATAATCAAATCGTCAATGAAGTGTAAAAATATTTTATTTCTCCTCAATCTCACACAAGAATATTTGTTATGTCGGCTATTTATAGATTGTGCAATCATGTATTGCTTAAGCTTTGGCAGAACAGGGGGAAAATATAAAGCATTATCTATGATCTTCTACTGGAGATTAAGATGTCCCATTGGAGATTGTGATCAAACAATTGTGGCTGTTATTCTGTGAGGACTGATTTTTATTTTATTTTTTCCAGGTGGTTACGGACGATATCCGTTATCCTATTCCTTAACAAACAAGATCTGCTAACAGAAAAGGTTCTTGCCGGCAGGTCTGTCCTAGAACATTATTTTCCTGATTTCGCACCGTATCGCATCCCTAATGACGGTAAGTCCTATCTATTTTTTTGTCATTTATGTCTATTTTTGTCTACTGAATTTCCTATACAGATTTGTCGGTACTCCTGCAGTATGCGCACCAAGATGTCGTACAACCTGAACCCTAACCTGGTACACAACCTGAGTTCGGGTTGTGCGCCATCTCGGTGCGCATACTTCAGAAGATCTGATTTGTCAAATATTTGAAGCTTCGGTTGGTGATGCTATTGTTAGCTAGTACTTCTGCATTTTGAAGTGCTGAATTTCTCAGTAGACATACCAATGTGTATTTGAATTAATGCTTAATTTTAACATGTAAACCTCAATATTTGTCGTAATGTTTATTCACAGTAGGTCGTTTTCAGATTTTTTGACATAAAAAAGAATCAAAAGGCTAGGTTACTAAACTATTCAAATATGGATACATGTACTCGTATAGAATATGTAACAAATAAGGATATAAGAGTATGGGGAGTATTAATAGCAAATTTTATAAGGTACAATAAACATTTTCAGTCTTTATAGGCTATAGAGACAAACCACGGATGACATCATTTTAAACCATCAGCACATTTGTGCATACATCTGATATTAAGTTGTGATGGTCAATTCATGATATTACAAAGTAGCTATTGTACTTTGCTGAACCATTCAATATTTTCCTCATTCTATCAAGCCATGCTACAACATGTTCTATTTTTAGAAAGGGAAAATTTAGTTTGCGCATTCGGTTAAATGCTGCAAGCGTGCTAAAAATAGATTTAGAATTAAGGACAATTCTGAGGGGCATGACAATTTACGGCATAGTCTACACAATGCAGATGAATTATTCATTCTTCTCTTCCAAGTACTCGTGATGTCGACACAAATCATGTTTTGCAGGCTTATGTATAACGCTTCCGCTGCTGGTGTTTCTCAAACTCTTGTTGCAAAATTAATGGCTGTAAATTAGAAAACTTTATGCCATCTATCCAGTTGGTTTAGTATGTTATGCCTGATTTTATATTGCATAATATTACTAAGCAAATGATAATAATTTTTTAGGAAAAAAACTTGCTAATTATTTGGAAATCTCTTTGTTTCATTAGTGCTCTCTCCTGTTTTATTAAAGTTGAATCAGTAGTAAAAATAAAATGCCTCATCTCTCAAGTCTTTGAAATATGTTAGTCTGTATTTAAAATTTTTTGTTCATCATAATTTCAATTCAAGATCAGTTATACTAAATGTAATCAATCTGAACATCACTTGGCTCGCCTTGAATGATAATAATAGCCTAGTTGAGACTTGAAAAAGGATTTTTAAACAATGTATCTGTGTGGCACATCACATTTTAGTCAATTTATAGTATACATTCGTTCATAACTCAAAACTCTATCTACTTCCAGCGACACCCGATGGCAACGAGGATCAGAACGTTACTCGAGCAAAGTATTTTATTCGTGATGAATTTTTGGTAAGTTTGTGCATTAGATTATTAAATTTTTCCATCATTGGGAATAAACGGTAGTTGAACAGTTCAAAATTTCAACATTTACAGCTATGCCAATTTACCATACTATTAACGTAATAACGTTAATAAAAATATATTTGTGATATTATATGAGATGAGTGTAACAACTGCAACAATATATATTAAAAATTATTCCCTACCTATTGCTGCAAGCTATGGGTGGCCCCAAAACAATAGAACCCAGGTCATTTGGAATATGTGATAGAGTAGGGGTGTGCAACATTTTTTGTCTGTGGGCCATATACCCAACTTCGAACATCTAGCTGGGCCACACAAAAAAATAAAATTTTCCATGTACACAACAAATTAAAAAATTGGCGACAACCAGAGGGCAACGGGGAAAGGCAAGAATGCGGCTATCGCTTACCCTTTTGGTAATATAGGCACAGGGCATATTAACGAAAAATTTGACACAGGGAAAAGAGCAAAAATCAATATGTATTTTACCCATGTGAGCGCCTTTTTAATAAACATAAACTGTCAGATTAGTATTTTATGCTTGAATCGGAAGGTTGACGAGGGCCATATTAAATGCTTGGCGGGACAGGTTGTGAGCACGGGTCACCTGTTGCGCACCCTGTTCTAGAAAGAAGGTAAATTTTGTGCAAAACTTTCTAGATTGCTGAAACTTTTAGGCACAATCATACACAAACACAAGTTAGAGTATTAAATAAGTTTTGTAGTAGTAAACAATTTTTGGGGTCACCTTGTTTCTTTTAGTTATCCATGATTATAATTATAGGTTGGTGGATTTTTCAATATTGTTTTTAGTTATTTAACTGGTGCTTGGTTTGTTGTAACACAGTCTTTTCTTTTTGCAGCGATTAAGCCAATCAGGAGAAAGTCGCCACTATTGCTATCCGCACTTCACATGCGCAGTGGACACTGAGAACATCCGTAGGGTGTTCAATGACTGTCGAGACATTATACAGCGTATGCACTTAAGGCAATACGAACTGTTGTGAGTCGAACTTTGCCGAATGACGCGAGTAAAGGTTTGTGTCCAACAATAACAAAATGCTGGGGAAGAGAATTGAAAATGAAATGAACCTGAGAGGAGACACTGATGAAAGAAAGGCGCAAGCGAATGGCGCCGAATGACGGCACCTCCATTTTAACTTAAACATATAAAATGAAAGCTTGTTCATTCAAATAATGAGAATGGCTGAACATTAGAGCTCCACTTCACCAGGCACGGTCGCACGAGAGCCTGTTTTCTTTCTTTCCAATCAATATTTTAGACCGATGCAAGTTATTATCTCGGTCTCGACGGCAAGTGAAACGGAATTCACATTTTTCCTCTGAGGTTCGCCTCCCTCAGACTACAACGGTACGTAAACAGACTGATGTATCTTTGATTTTTCGCTTCGATTTTGAGGTTCACTTATTTTTCTATCTCCAGCCAGATAAAAGAAATTTAAATCCAATATGTAAGCTAGGAAATTCATTATTTTTTGCAACTTGACCGGCGGACCGATGCTGCAAGTCTGCCAATCCTCATTTGCAACGATGTGATTTGTTACCATTGATTGATCGATTACTACCAGTTGTGTGTTGAAATAATTTGTTTAAAAATATCCAGTATACAGGTAAACATTCGAAAATATTTCCATATTACAATTCGTGTGGCAACAAGAATATTTTAAGTTCGGACATGTAAAACAGATTCGTATTTACTATCCGAAACAACAAACGATTTTGCATAAATTGGAATCAGGTTTTATCTGGCCACATATGTATCATACTTGTTTATGTAATCATAGGATGCAACTAGCTTTCAAGCTTGAATCAAAAAAATCCTAATTCAACTTGATATGTGCTTATTTTTTTTTGAAATGTCAATCTTGTGATCGAATTTCTTTTTTAACTGGAGATATCCATTACTGGGCGGTCTTATATTCTATAGTTGTTCCTTCAAATTATCAAATTATGCTGAAAAACCATAAAAATTTAAGTCATACTCAAACCTGCTGTGTCTTTTGGCTATTTGCATCCATATTTTTACGTAAACAAGTGAGTAAGATAAATGCCTCGCTAATTAATTTTCATGGTTTTCGAGCAGCGTCATTCATACTTGGTGCAGTGATTTCCCAGTACTTTGTAATTTATTCGTGGCTACTTAAATTTGGTTTACACTCTCTTACTGAATAATAGTTATGTTTTGATGGATATAACAGCGTCTGTCTATTGAAAGTTCAGTTGTCACTCTGTGGTATAAACAATAAATAATGCTCATTGCGCTCTGTACTGGTTGTATTTTTCGGTCTGCTCTTCAAATTTTCTAGATTGTTTTGTTTGTTAAAGTAACTATTACTACTGCTTTCCTGCCACATAATTTAATGATCAGATTATACTGAGCACGGGTCAGTTCTACAAATTATTTAAAAGCTTACATCCTGTCAAATGCCAATTCTAGTTTTCGATGGATTTTTGGGCAGGGCCGATAATTTTATTTTTATTTCTACTCTTTCATGAACTTTGGATACTTACCCTGTTGTCAAGACAGTGTCTTCTACCTAGAGAATCTATTTGTTTTCCCCATTTCTTTGTTCATCACAATTTTATTATCAGACTTCTTTTCATTAGTATCAGTTCAAGTCTAGTCCAATGATTCATTGTGAAAATATTTAATAATAGTAATAACATATTATTTCTTTGGAACTTGGGTGGAAATTTCAGGAACTGAACTACTTCTGGTTTGTTGATCAGTTTTTTCGACTCGATATTTAATCTTGTATGAATTTCTTCACGAATCTATAAAACAATTTAAACGTATTTTTTGAGTATTTGGAATTTGAATTTCATAGAGCGTTTTTAAGATCCCTTTTTATTTATCGATTATCGAACTCCTTTTTTTTCGCGAACAGTTTAAAATCATCGGACGCTCCCCTGTTTTCTGCTATTTGTGCTTTCTCTAAAGCCAGTTTGTAACTTTTCAATGATAGTTTTCTTTGGTTCTTTACCTTATCTATGAATTTGATATAAAAGTATTGGTTATGCATGTACCTTTAGGCTGTGAAATTTGACAGGTTTCTTTTTTCCTCAGGGGGGGGGGGGAGGGATTCGAGGGTATTATGTGTGTAATGCATACCTCATGAATAAATTGACCTTTCAACTTTGCATACTGACAAATTTTAGTTGTCTTTTATTAAGGTAGGTAAATTGCCGTTGATTGTGTGCAAATTAGTCCAACTGCATCTTCGCAAGCAATATTTTAGATGTGGTATTATGATCGGAAAATCTTTTGCAATTCAAAAATTTCTCTCAATTGACTAGAGAATTCAGAAAAGGGTGTTCGTTGGTAAAAGACACGGCTTCGTTAAAAATGCTGGGCAGATCTAGCTCGCTTCACTTCATTATTTCTATTAAAGTTTTCACTGTTTTAGGGGTGAAAGTATTAATTTATATAATCTGTGTTGGTTGGGTAGTGAGTTTATATACGCCACACCCCTGATGATAAATTAACGGATATGCTTTTACTTTTCTGTTGTTTTTTTACATACCAGTTACTATTTTCTCTCGATTATTCCTTGATTGTATGTATCAAATGATAAGGTTTTACCTGACTATTTTCACATTTCTGTACATGCATAGCTAACAATGATATTTGACCTCGGCTCGGCTATGAAAAATCTGAGTGAAAATATCATTAATATCATGCAAGAAGTTTCGTAACTAGACTTCACAAAATTGGGTTTTTATTCTAAATGTGATATGTTTATTTATTTTATTTTTGCTTGTTTTTATTTGGGTATGATATGATGAAGAGTGGGAACGACAAATTTGAAAAAAAAAAATGGTTGATAGCTGATTGGCTTCTTCTAAAGAAGATCTACTTGTAACTCATTTACAATTGCTAGATAGAGTCTTTTTATTACCCCTCTCCTCTCCGAGCAGGTCGTGACTCGTGACCGTCGAGAATCTTTTAAGAGAATGGAAATGTTACATTGATATTTATTTTCATGTTCCGTTCTACTATCGCGATGCTTCGAAACTACTTTGTTTTTGTCGTAGTATAATATATTCTTCTGTTTCTGTGCATCCCACTGTTCAATTAAGGCTCCATATGGATCAGTGTAATTGTCGTAATTTTAGATGCAAAAATAAGTATATACAGTGCTATACTTCTCTTCTTTTTAGAAGAGGGTCGTCATTCTTATTACTATATGATGATGATATGATATTACTACTATTCACGATCTATTAAAGATTATTATTCTTATTGTTGCATCGCAGTTCATCAAGGGTCACCTACCTACTTTCCTACTCTGTTTGTGAACTAGAGATGTATGTCAAATCAGATTGTCCTGTGGCTGTTGCTACGAACTTTTATACGCTTGAAAGACTCAAAAAAGATCATAGTCTAGTTGGGAGATAAAAAGTCATGCAAGCTCAATGTTGCCAAGATGTTATGGGACTTGTCAGAGAGATAATGTGAATAGTTTTGAAATCGTAAACCCATACAGCTAGATCAACACTATAGATTTTTTGTGTATAACTGCTAACAATAGTTGCATCTCAGCGTATCTCGTTGGAGATGTCTGTGGTATTTGTGTCATTTTACATCCAGAACTGGGGAATTCTGTAAGTATTTGGCTATACTCCAGCCTAAAAGTGCCTGCCTAACTCGGCAATACAGCTAATTATCCGATATTACTGCTGTATTGCATATCAATTGTTAAGTATTGGCAACCTTGCCCAGAGCCAGTGTCTGCGGTCGACCTACCTGCAACGTCCCAACAGTAATATGTCGTCACTACAGGGTGGTGGTTCCCATATCATGTGGTCGGCAATGATGAACTGTAAAAAAAAGTTTCATGTGCTGCCACTTGGGAGTGGAAGCCGACCGGAGATGTGTATCACCATGTCGGTGTCCCTTAAATAGGTTATATATTTTTATAGGTAGCCTATATAAAAATTATTCGTTTTCGTGGGATTCGAGAATGAGAGATGTTATTTAGACGGAAAATGTGAACTCGGTTTGTTACTCAATACCCCCTTTCCACCCAGACAAAAAGGTCTCGATAGCACCATATCACCTTTTGTCGTTTAATTTTTGACAAAACGGCGCCGAATCTGCCAGGCTGAAATCACTCTCAGGTACTGTTGTATGGGAGCTTTATTAATAGTTTTTAACAGGAGAGTCATTGTAGCCTGAATTGAGATTTCAGTTGGTCTCCAAACCTCGGGACTGCGAAAATACCTTCGACTAAAACTCTGAAATATATATTTTCTCACAGTTTGAAAATATCTATTTGATTGTGTCAAATGACTCCAATAATTGACGTCTTGCACACGACTTTATTCTGCATTTTGTAAGAAATAGTATCCCAGCTTTGAGAGTCATGTGATAACTATTGCGCCGCGTACAAAAAATATTTCTACAACATGCTCGTGCTACCACTTCCAGGTAGGATTTGATCAGGATGAAATTGTGCCTTCAAAATTTCATATACAATACATATAGCGAGCTGACTTTCGGGCAAGGTAATTCAATAAATAGGCCGATGGATGTCTACCACAAACATCTTCCCTGCGTATTCATTTTTTATTTCCGTAATAGTGACCAATCAACAATACGGAAACGGCTTTGTAACAATTGTTCGCACAAATTCGCACTCAATATTTTCAACACCCAATCTTTGGCAAACATCCATCCTTTGGGCCGATGAGCCAAGCATTACGGGTCGTGCCATAAGTAGCTTACTGTCACCTACTTCTACCCGCTTCACTCAAGGCGCCGGATTCCAGACTTGCTTTTGCTACGCAAACATCTTATGGCGGAGGAAATTTGGTAGACGCCTTTGTGACGGACTGTCACCTACTTCTACCCGCTTCACTCAATCAATCAATCATCATTTATTCGTCAACACAATCAATATATATATATCACGGAAATATGGCAAGATATATAATAAGTAAAAAAAAGAACTTCATATGTGTGACAGGCGCCGGATTCCAGACTTGCTTTTGCTACGCAAACATCTTATGGCGGAGGAAATTTGGTAGACGCCTTTGTGACGAATGAAGGCTACTTCGGGAATCGTTTGTCACGAAGTGCCCTTGTGGTGTGAGCGAAGATCGGTTATACGCAATTAAACCCCAGGTCAAAGTGGTTACTGATTTGACTCGAGCAGCACATTTTTTTGTGAATGGTCTTTGTGTAACTGGAGCTTCACTTCTCATTGTCAGAGATGTCTCTAATAATCGTTATGACGTTTTCATTGCTCTTTTACCTCCTTAAAAACGCCGAGTCTTCATAACTTGTTGCCTTTTCTATTTGACTAATGCAGCCAGGCTAGCTCTTCGAAATTAAGTGGTTGCGAAAATTAACTGGTGGAAATATAAACATTTATAAAAGCGAATGCGTTGATTATGTAATTTAAAGCAACTAATTGTCCAGGTTCTGCTGAAGTTTCTGCAACAGTCTTCAACTTCTCTTAGTGGCAACATAGTTTGTACTCAATGCAGTAGTCAGAATTACAGCCCGTTTCGCCGAGATTTAAGTAACATCTTGATTGCGAAAATTGACCACGGTCACAACTGGGGCAAAATGAAACCTTTTGGAGGCCCTATGCACTCAAGATTTTTGGTTCTTTATAGGCATGAAAAGTAATATTAGATGTAATGTAACTGGCGTTCCATGTTATCTGAAATTGAATGAACAGTTTCAATATTCATTACTTATTGAAGGCCAAGTTACGATTGATTTGCATGATTTTTTTGGAAACAGTTCTTATACTTACAAATAGGCTATGGATAGAGAGGTTTAAGATGATACTTGCGAACTTTATTTCAACTGGGCCAATACTGAAATCTGCGTCGTCTGAATTGTTTCAATAAACACTGGATCATATATAATTAAAAAATCGTTAATAGCAGCGGTTCCCAAACAGAGCGATTTGCTAAATGCAGTTTATATATATATATATAAAACGAAAATCAGGCAAGGGTGGGGAAGAAAATGACATTGCCTCTATTCGTGAGGTCTACATATTTTCAAACTTTAGAAGGCATAAAGTACACATCAACGATCTAAAAATTTTATTTGAAGGCATCAGTGTTTTTTTCGTGTAGATTAAATTCGCCGTGGGTATTTTCCCTGATAATTTGGCGCCGCACTAACAAAAAGTTTATCAAAATTTCTGTGGTGCCCTAAGCACCAGCACCAGCAGATTTCTTTCTTTAATTCCAGTCACCGAACTTTAACTGCTCCATATTTTTATTTATTTTGCATAACTCTGATATAAGCAGTTGATATTTGGAAGCAAATGTATAAGCTATAGTTACAATACAATCTACCGCTCTTGCGCCCCAAGTCCATGTAGCTTTGACAGTTTTCAATTTACCTAATGTACATGGCCTTAAAAATTTGTCCTGCTATGCTGACCGAGGAAGGATATGTATAAGGTGTGTTCATGAGATAAGATACGGTTACTAACATTTTACCGATTAGCAATACCGTGGCTATTTCCAAAATTCACTTCACGCGACTTGTATATACACAAGTGAGCATTCTTGCCTCGTGTGCTTTCAATGTTATCTGAAATTATCAAACACGTCAGACATGATATCGCTTTAAAGTCATTTTCCGATTTAAAATATTCATTTGTATCCTAAATGGCCTCAAACAGAATCATTAATTATAATTTCTTCATTGATCTTTTTCCTGTTTTCAAATGTGCAGAAACGAGGTTCAGAGGCGCTGTGTCGTAGTCAATCGGTAAATTACCTGAAACGAATTTGTACAAATGAAACGTTTTAAATTCCCCGAATATATATATTATTCATTCAATTAGGTCTCATGATCATTACGCTGTTTTAAACCGACTATGAATGTGAAATAAAAATATTTCAAACTTTCCTATTAGTAGTTTTTTAATTTGTCATGTGATTAGATGAAGATGTAATGAGAATGGCATAAAGTTTATGCTTTACCTGTCAACTGAAGTTTGTATCAATAGATTTCACAGACATAGTACAAAATAAGAGTGAATAAGGAAAGTAATCAAACTATACGGTAGGTTGTTACGTTCATGGTTTAAACCCATTATATTAGCGCGGCTGTAATTACAAGAATCGTCTCTCTATATGTTATGATTTCGAGCTAAAGATAAACAACAACTGCTTACCCGGTCCGTCAATTAATCTGAGCATTTTCCAACCTAAAAATAAATATCAATAATATTGTAATAAACTAACTTTTGTCACCAATTTATAATCGGACTATATAGCAATATAAAGTATGATTGAACTTTGTGTAGGCATAGTCTAATATGCATCCTAAAAATATTAATAATGAAATGAAAGCAACAGTAGTTTGGTCACATGCAGATATTTAATAGCGCATCTAGTGGCTGAACCTCTCACGGATCACCGAGCAACGTGTGGGTCTGATTTGGCCACGAGACGCCATATTGTGTTCGTGACCTTTAGCCAGGTTCTAGGTTAGAAAGATTTTATTTCGCTGAATACTAGATAAGACATCGAAATTCTTTGAAATATTGTCCGATCTGTCGGATACCTCACGAGTAAACTGAGATAAATGACAAAAATGGACAAAATTTTGTAGTTATAGAATTTCTTTTTGACCAAATAGTATCGTTGGAAGAAGCAGTCGATTTTAAAGTTAGGAGAACCAACGTTGAGTATCCGCTTCATGGTTTTAAGTTATTATAATAGCCATGTAACGTCTTCCTTTTTCAAACCTCCTGGGACAGTATAATCTTGTGCTATACCTCCATGATGTCTAGGTTTTTATCGGCCACAAATATATAAGAGAAAATATTTTGTGCGATTTAAGATTTGGTTTTGTTCGAAAAACAAATCGATGCAAGTTTTAATCAATGATAATCATATGTCCAATACTATATCATTCTCTATATATATATAATACTTCATATATTCTTGTTCCATACCTCTGTTTTTCCGATGATAAAATCTTCTTGGTAATATTGCGATATCGGCTCTTCCGAAAGCCCATATGAGGTAAGAGATTGAAGTATCCTATGAATAAAATTTAATAATGAAATTCGTTGCTTTGCAAATTGGTAGATTATTTTCCGAATATAATGTAATACATACATTCAACGCGTTGTCCTCTATATCCTTTGTATCCAACTTTCTAGTAAAAGTAACTGAAGTAGAAGTTCCGTTTTGTGAATATTTTAAGATGTCAACATCTTGTGAAGAATCTATTTTAGGTTGCCCGTTTTTATCAGCATTCGTATCCTACAGAAAAAAAATTGAAATTATTACTATAATTACTGCAATATATGACTCGGTTAGTGGTCCAGCTAATTCTTGTGGTTTCTGAGAGTATAATACATTCATCTGAAACAAAATTTACTATAAATACGATATATATTAGAAAAGAATGAATACATTTGCAAAACGCGACCAGTATTATAAATGAATAGAGTAATGGCAAACCTCAAAATCAATATGCGATCAACGTCAATACATTTACAACCCTGATAATTGTAATGTAAATTTAGTATCTCCCGTATGCAATACACACTCACCAAAGCATATATCCCGTCATTTCTCACTCCCGTTATAATAATATCTGCACCGGCCATGCTGGGTCCTGGTGAGAATCCAAGTCCGATCCAACCTTTCGTTGGCATGGTGAGCTAAATGAAACAATGAATATTGGGTTTATTTCATTTCAAAAAACCACCGTGTTGTATGCTAGTTGAATAAGACAGTGATCAGACAAGCTGATATTTATGATTTTGTTGGTAATCTTCAGAGTTTAGAGCCACAATTAATAATACACACCTGGAATACGATCCTATGTTCGTTGTAACTCCACTGGAGGTATACCCCTTTTTCTTTGTTCAATATTACACGATTCGACATAAGTTCAAAGGTAAATTTTTCTTCGTCTTTCTGGTCATCAGTATTATGCTCAGACTGCGTTTGTTCACTCTCTATGCTAATGTTTTCAACACTAGGGTTGATGAGGTTTTCATCATTTGTGTGAGTGTGATCAGCGTCATATGGAATATGATTATCGTCTCCTGAGTCATTATCCATGTGAGTGTGCCCATCACCATCAGAGTGAGTATGATCACCATTGTCAGAGTGTGTGTTAACATCACCAGAGTGAATGTGATTATCTTGTTCAGACTGGACGTCACTTTGGGAGTGTTCATCTCTGGGAATATCACCATCGTTGTCAGAGTGAGTGTGAGCACCACTAGGGTGCACAGAATTGACGTCATCGCCAGTGTGTGTGTGGTCATCACCGTCAGAGTGGGTATGGTCACTTAGATGAACATTATCTGAATGTGAGTGAGTACGACTGTCATCTACTGAGTGTGTATGGTCACCAACACGAGCGTGGTCGTGTCCGTCGGCAGGGTGAGTGTGTTCTTCATTTCCTGAGTGGGTATGCGCGTTTGCATCATGACTTGAATGAGTGTGCCCATGAGGCTGAGTGTGAACATTGGAGTGAGTGTGATAATTGCTGTTATGAGCATCGTTGCGTGGTATGAACGATATTCCAGTGTGACCTAATTGTGGAAACAAAAGTTATATCATTGTACTACTGACGATATATGTCATTCACGCAGAATATAGATAAATTCATCATGTCTATTCAATTGATTGATCACTTTCCTGCTATAGAAACAAACACATTTGAACTTTATAATAACACTCCGAATTAGCTCACAATTACAATTAACATACCTCGATTGGATCCATGATAGTCCGATCCCGTTATAGAGTCATTGATATCGCGCTTACCAAATGCCCATATTACATTCGTTTGCCCTGTCTACGGTAACATGAAATTAACGTACATGAAATATAGAAATTACATAAAATTATAGTTACTACCAAACTATGTATTTGAATATAACATAGTAGGGCGAAGGCGACCAACCAACTAATTATTTGCTGAGTGATTTTTCGGTGCTCCTGAAGTATGCGAACCAAGATGGCGGACATCGAAACGTAGCATGGGTAACAGGTTAGGGTTAGGCCATAATTTTATTCCAATTTCCCTTATTTTAGTCCTACTATGAGTTCGAAGACTAGCCAAGTGCCTCTCGTAGTATTTGTACCTAAAATTATGGCCTCACCCTAACCTAGTACACATATTACATTCCGATGTCCGCCATCTTGGTTCGCATACTTCAGGAGCCCCGTTTTTTCTTTATGAAAACATGCCACACCTATACAGCCGAACGTGCAGAGCTATGGTCCGAATCGGACGAAAAAATGTCGTGACCCTCTTTCCTACGCTTGTCCCAGAACAGTGTGGCAAAGTTGGACAAGTAACCAACGACATTTTTAAAACACCGCTCGGGCAATATTCAGAGGTTGAGTTGTGTGACGTCCAATTACAAATAACTATGTCATATCATATATAAATTAGAGATGCCAATATAATGCCGTCTTTTGTATTGTACACATTGTAAAATCCGCTGATATTCGATTGATATATTTCTACACAATTACCATCTAATATTAAAAATTTCAATGTGAAAATTTGGCAGCGAAAATAGCTAAAAACATGTCAGAATTCCCGTTTCTACTAGCGGAGATGGGGACGAACGGGGCTCCGAGATAATGAGGCAAATACCGCTGATATGATCCCTCCACGCAAAAACTATTTTAAAATCCGTTTTCTAACTCATTTTCGAAAAATTCTGGATCAGATTAAATAGCTAAATATTGGAAATATCGGTCTATATTTAGCCGATACGAATACCGATATCGAAAAAATGGTCGATATTGCCGATACCGATACATCGGTATAAATACCACCGTTTTGCTGCCAGTTTAAGTATGCTTTTTTCATATTTAATTCTTGATCGTCTAAACCTTCCATATTTTTATTTGATGAACAGGATTAATCTAGGCTACTTCAAAAAGAAATAATATTATTATTTGTACCTTTATGTCTAAATCTGCATAGCGGTCCGGAGTTCTCATTTGTCGCATTAACATAACAACAGTTTTTTGACCATCTTCGACTACGTCTATCAAGTCAATATTTCTATATTTATCCAGCATTGGAACACCATTCTTTATACCATACATATCCTGAAAAAGATGACGATAAGTAAATAATTTAAGTTAAGATTGAATTCTCCTGTAAAAAATATATACTGTACATGGGGTGAACAAATGCACGATATTATGAAAAATTAGGCTATTTACATACATATATGTACGGAATTCCGTCTTTTATTCCTGATAGACTAATGTCCGCTCCAGCCATCGAGTGTCCTGGCGTAAATCCAAAACCTATCCATCCCGTAGTTGGAGCAGCAAGCTAAATAAAACGTGATTAAATTAGTTTACTGTTAATATATTGCAAAAACAAAACAGAAAATACATTTGATTTCACCTGGAAAAACATCGTTGGATTTGTAGGTGGTGTGAGCATAGAATGCCACTGCAATATAACTTTTCCGGATTTGTCCAATACTTTATGGCCATTTATCGGTATTGAGTCTAACAAAGGAATTCGATTTTTTCAGAAATATATTTATATCTTTTATATTCAAGCATTCGGATTACTTTAATCTATCATATATATATATATATATATATTATAGTGTGTTGTAGATTTAGGCTGTTTTTGCCAATAAATAAAATCAATTTTCGTGAAACGTTTAAAACAAAAATTTGTTAAACAAGAAGATCTCACCTCTATCTATGGGTACTTTGGAATCTGGAAAATTTTGAAATAATATATAAAAGTATTTTAGCAAGTAAGTCTTTTTTTCATGGACATAAGTAATATTCGTGAATGGGACAAAAAATAATAATACTCACTTGGCAAAAAGAATTCGACGGACACAGCTCCTGTAATTGCAATATAACAATTCATTTATATAATATAATACAATTTTGCAATGCATCAGAAATCTCACCCAATTGTATCTTATTTTGCAAGTAAAACTATAAAAATAACATTAAAATTTTAGCCAAAGTCAAAAGTATAATTTTTACAGTTATAATGGAACCAGATTTAAACTGCTAAAATAGTTACCACTGCTACGCGGGGATCTACCATGCTATTGGAAGGAAGCCTTGAACCTTTGTATTTTTGGTTTGGTATTGTCCATCTATCTGATTTGCATATCGCATATGATATAAACCAATATCTTCAATTTAACACGAGATAACGACTAGGCCTACGAAAAGATATTGAGTACCACACCCCTGTTTCTGAAGTGATAGAACGATGCCGTTAGTGAGTCACGAACATCTGTCGATCCATATGCCCAAATGATGTTTACGAGACCATTCTAAAATAAAGAAACATAAAGAAAATTATGTGCAACGATTTCTATTCTGCAATCTACAGCATAAAATGTTAACTGACTGAATAAAGCGATTCCATACGTCAAAAAAGTGTTCCCATGATATAAAACGAAACAGCAAAATTATGAAGAAATAACGGTCGCCTAGAACTTGGGAGAAATTTTGGGCTATAGTTTCCTAGCGAATTCGTCCATTTTAAAGCACTCGATTGCTCCATTAGTTACGTAGAAAAGCGTTCTCTCAACAACTTGAACAATCACCCAAATAGCAACAATAATTCAGCAAAATAATTCATAGGTGGTACACTTTGTGCATACTAATCAAATCTAAAATATGAAACTATTGCTTCATTGAGTATACTGGTATTTGGGATTGTGCCTCCTTTTTTATTTAAAAATCGTAAGCTACTCACCTCAATGCCTCTGTCTCCAGGAAGTGTAGTTACAATTGGTCGACTGAATTCAATCGTCGTATGTGTTCCATTTTGTGAAGAGCTTGCTGCGATGACGTTCTGCTCTTCATCAACTCGGGGAACACCGTTGTTTATTGCATTTGTATCCTACCGTAAAAATTGTACAAAGTCGTTTTAAACCCATTGTCCAAGAAAGTCTGACTTTGGTCGGAAAAACTTCCATATTTTAGGTACAGTATATATATGCTCGTAGGATTGAATAATTAATTGAGTGTAAACAAAAGAAATAGTAGTATGCTTTCTCACGATAAGATATGGCTCCATATCTCCTTCATCATAAACGCCCATTATAATGATGTCGGCATCAACCATGTTATATCCCGGTGAAATTCCAAGCCCCATCCATCCTGTTGTAGGTGCTGTCATCTGAAGGTGCAAAATTCATTGTAAACTTCGACTGAGGATGTAGAGTGAGAAAAAGTTATGTTAAATTCTCATCCCTCTGGTAGTCTAGTGCTCTCTCGCTGTGGCTCCGGATTGACAAAACTTCTTGATTCCCAGTTCAGTGTTTGAACAGCTTGAGTAATGCTCAAATATGTGAGCACCGAGGCCAAATGAATAATACGAATAAAGTATATGGAATGCCATATATAATGTGAAAAGAAATATATCGAATGCCTAATGTGTCTGTGAATTATAATAATTTGCAGATGGGATATCGGGTCCCGTTGGACTTGCGAAAAATAGATGGAAAATAGAAGGGATTGCCTCAAAGAAACTACTTCCGTCGTTAAGTATTAAATATTCGCAGTCTATTGTTAACTTTTTGCAAAGTACGGCAGGTATCAACGGGCGCCCCATTGAAAAGCTACAGGCCGAACATCTTATCCAAGGAGGCCATATATTATCAAAATTAGCTTCGGAAATCTCAATCTGGTACAGAATAGATATATATATATTTAAAATGCGTTTTTGAGTGGCACAATAACTTGATACTTGCCTCAAATATTATGTTTTTCTCGTCGTACACAAATGATAGGAATACTGTTCTATTTTCGTCGAGAAATAATTCTTCGAAGAAGATATTGTTTCGTTGGTGGCCATCAGCCTGACTGTGTGTAGAATCTGTGTCGCGATGATATGGATATGGACCATGATCATAGTCATTCTCTGACCCGTGGTTGTGATCGTCGTTATTAGTTAGTTCGTGAGTATGGTCAGGATACGAACCATGACCATAGTCAGTATCTGGTTCGTGTCTGTGATCGTTGTTGTTAATTGGTTCATGAGTATGGTCGGGATACGAACCATGGTCATGGTTATTATCTGGTCCGTGACCATGATCGTTATTATTAACTGTTTCGTGAGTATGGTCGGGATATGGACTATGATTATGGTCATTATCTGACCCGTGACTGCGATCGTTGCTATTAATTGGTCCGTGAGTATGATCGGGATACGGACCATGATCATTTTCATTATCTGGTCCTTGTTTGTGGTCGTTGTTATTAATTGGTCCGTGAGTATGGTCGGGATAAGGACCATGATTGTGGTCATTATCTTGTTCATGTCCGTGATCGTTGTTATTAATTGGTCCGTGAGTATGGTCGGGATACGGACCATGGTTGTGGTCATTATCTTGTCCATGTCCGTTATCGTTGTTATTAATTGGTCCGTGAGTATGCTCGGGGTACGAACCATGACCATAGTCAGTATCTGGTCCGTGTCTGTGATCGTTGTTGTTAATTGGTTCGTGAGTATGGTCGGAATGCGGACCATTATCTGGTCCGTGTCTGTGATCGTTGTTATTAATTGGCCCGTGAGTATAGTCGGGATACGGTCCATGATCATGGTCATTATCTGGTACGTGGTTGTGATCGTTGTTATTAATCGGCCCGTGAGTATGGTCGGGATACGGACCATGATTATTTTCATTATCTGGTCCGTGTTTGTGGTCGTTTTTATTAATTGGTCCGTGAGTATGGTCAGGATACGGACCATGATTGTGGTCATTATCTTGTCCGTGTCCGTGATCGTTGTTATTAATTGGTCCGTGAGTATGGTCAGGATATTGAACATGATTATGGCTATTATCTGGTCCGTGTCCGTGATCGTTGTTATGAATTGGTCCTTGAGTATGCTCGGGATACGGACCGTGATCATGGTCATTATCTGGTCCGTGATGGTGGTCTGAGTATTCTCCTTGATCGTGGCCAGGATCAGTTTCTTGATCATTGTTCACTGTAACATATGATAAAAGAAACAAATATTAAATGATGCATAAATCCTCATCAAAACCATTTGGCAAAACTAAAGTTTGATTATTTTGAAATCAAAATCTACTAACTTACTTTTTGATGTATCTTTGAGCAGGTTAATTGCTATGATTCCTGTAAAAGTATTGATTTAAATTAAATATTATTTTACATTTCTAATTGTGTCTGAGATTTTTCAGGTAATCATCGACGAAAGAAAAAATTCTCATTTTAGCAGACCGCGTATGTGAGAGATTTCACCCCAGTTTGGTTGTTGTCTGTTGCTATATTACTCGAGGAATATTTTGGTGAATACGCTTTATATATATATATGTACATACAACCTCTTATATATAAGAAGTTACGATTCTTGAAAGATCCATAATTTTTGCGTTTCTGTATCGTCTATCAAATTTATGACACCCGGGTGAGGTGATGAGAATAGGGTTCCCTAAGTCAACGTAGTTAAGTGTAATGCTTTAATAGTTATGGCGAAAGGTAGACTATTATTTCATGACACAGTTATGTGATTACGTGAAAAAAAATAATCCCGAAACTAGTGGAGATTTATCATGTACGACGATTTCCTAAATCCTTGTCGAATGGTAACAGCTTGTCGAATAGAATTAACCAGAGGAGAAGTCACGAGTCGAAAGATTATTTAATTTTACCATCGGCTTTCTTCCCCCATTAAATGGAATGGAAATACTTACCTCTCTCGGTACGCGTAAAATCAATGTTGTTTGGTGTAGTGATATCTCCATATCCGAACGCCCACACGACGTTCAATGGTCCCTTCTGAATATGAAATACATTTTAGTTATAAAAATGGCAAATTCATTAAAAAAATAGTAGGAGATACGACCTCTGAGTATACTAATATACCTCATAACAATAAATTTTTGACAGTGTCGGGAGTAACTTCACTATATAATATTTGAAGTAGCTCGGGGCCAGGAGAGAATAATTTCATACCGTAATTGCTGCATCGTAATCGTCTCCAGTCTTAAGCTTTCTCCTCATTAAAATCTTTGTTTTTAATCCATATTCCGAAGCTTCAAGAACGTCTATGTCTTGTTGTTCGTCTAGTGAAGGTGGTGTAGATGGTTCTACATGCATATCCTGAGTTTTAGCAGAACCAGAATGAATCAGATGTCAGTGAATTGTTGCTAGTATATATGACGAATATTGAATGAGGTTACATTGATCCAGCACTCAGTCTTTTCCTTATCATACCAACATTTATTTAACCAAAGAAATTTCAAGCAAAGTGCGCCATATCGTTTCGAAAAAAAAAATATTTAGTATTATAAGCAAATAAGCAGGTTAATATAATCAACTCGAGAATACATTAAAATAATATTATATTCATACAAATGCATAATTCTCTCCAGATCCATTTACTCCGGCTATGAATAAATCTTGAATATTTTTTCCACTTTCGGAAGATAAACCAAGCCCAATCCAGCCAGATCTGGGCGCTGTGAACTGTTTAATACAAACGACAGCGTTAATTGTGAGAAAGCGATTGTATTCTGAAATTCACCAACATCAGAGAGTTGATTAATACTTCGATCAGTTCGATGTAGATATATATTTAGTTGGCGTTCAGGCAACATTACGATCCGTTGATCGTTCACCGAGAGCTGCCCTATTGGTATATGTTTGATTTATTGTCATACTGGCAAAGCATCGACATTTTAGGCAAACTCGGTGCTCAGCCGAACCTTTACCGGTATCGATGCGCGACCTTTGGGCAAGCCAGGCCTATTTTTCCAGCCAGAATTAAAAAATGAAGAAGGGAATGAAAAAATAACGCGATCAAGCAAAATATTTTACATTTTGTTCTATTTTCGCAGAAATAAAAGTTGCCATTCAGATACAAATATGAAAAAATCGCCTTAAAGAGGGTCCGCTGGTCGCACTCAAGATTCATAAATGACTTAATTAAGTGTGGATGAAATGACTGTTATATGTACACTGTCATATCTCCCCGACGCGCCTTATTTGCTCTGGCCATGATGCCTCTAATAATGCGCAAAATTGCAAAGACTAGTTAGATTTAAAGCGTGTAGTCTATAGGAATTAACAGGTATGAGATGTATATATGAGATTGGGATATATTGAAGCTCGAACAATGAAGTCTTCTGGTTAATATTTTTGGCTATGATTGCATTGGGTGATTTTTTTAACTGAAATAATATTAACAGAGTTGAATGTTGTGACTAAAGCATCATAGAAATACTGTATTGCTTCGCAAAAATTATTTTATCGGTTGGAATACTACTGTTAGTCAAATTGAGTCTTGTTGCACCGAATGTTCTGTTGACCGTGAATTAGGAAATCTAAAAATACATTTCATGTAAAAAAGCCAACGACCTTAATTAAGACGACTATCCAAGTCAATAGAAGGATGAAGATATAAAAATACCATACAATCAACAAAAAACAGACGAATAAAAGCTTGATATTTGTTTGCGAGGTTTGCTTGGTTGTATTAACCTATCTTTTATACTAATAGTAAACCCTTCGACCATGGAGAAAGCACTCGCTAAGCACGCTCAAAAGCGGAGGCGTAACTGATCTTTTTTTGCACAGGACCAATGAAAGCTATAAATTGGAAAAATTATAGTCCAAAATATCGCATTAAGAAACAAATACCTCGAAGTATATATATTCTTTGTTTGACGCCCATCTTAGTTCCACGTCTCCTCGTTGTCCTAACGACATTGACGCAAATTCCTTCGGGATCAAATCGTTATCTATGTAAATAATAGTTTTCTTAGTTATCTTATTCTGAATTCAAGGTTGTGAAGTTAGTGATTGACAATTAGCGGAAAATAATGTATTTAACGTGTGCGATACCTTACCTTTCTGCCTTTGAAAAAAGTTGATCTTTTTGTGGCCTGTAATAGAGAACGTGGATATAGAATTTAATGTTAAAAAATTATCATAAATGAGACCCGGATAAAAACAAAAGTAATTTCAAGCTTGTGCTTCAAAAATATTGGAGCATTGTAACATACAAATGAGAGTAAATCAGAGCTTACCCGTTTTTCTCGGACGAAAAAAACAATTTTTAATCACAAACTCTTTGGTATTTATTCCCAAACTATTTTATAACTTTTTTGAATCCGACCAACGAATTATATTCGAATATACACTAAATGCCTTAAAATTTAGTTTCACTTCTCTAAAGTGGCTTTTTTATTTATGAATCTGAGTTATGTTTCAAGTACTCAAGCAATTAAATGCACGTCGAATTTATCAATATTAAAACTATCGATGCATCCATATAAAAATTTTTTTAAATTTATGTACCTTGTCTATTAAAATGATAGTTGACAGAACGCGGAACTTCAACCATATCGTGTAATCCATATGCCCATATCACGAACGTATCTGCGTTCTAAAACATACTTAAAGTAATTAAATAGGTGAAATCAGGAGAAAGATATGCATGTTAAACTTGATTAAATATCGCAATGTGCGAGAGAATTGCTGGACTCTTCGCCGTCGTAGGGTGGTTTAAGTAAGCACTGGTCGATTACGGCCTCATTCAACTATCAAGTCAATGCATCTGAAACAAATAACTGTTTAACTATTTCTAAAACCGACTTAGACTGGCAACAGAATGAGAGGCCGAAGTTCGTTAAGTCCTGCTGTGATAGATATGAAAATTTTCCTATCCTGTAAATGTTATTATAAAAACAAGGTCAAATAGGAATTCTCGCGTAGGTAAGTCGCTGTTTTTGCTGCGTATTCGCCTAAAGATGAGGTTGGTTATTATTCGCTCTTCTATCTCGCTTTATAAAGTTTCCAAAGCTTCAAATTACGATTTTTTATGGGAGAATTCGCTCAGAGCTGTAAGTTGCACACAGTCACGCAGAAGGAAGGGAACTAGTTATAAGTAGGAAATGTTAGATGATACATTCTCGTTTTTTTTTATAATGGGTGATAACTATTTAAAAATAGTTGGTGTTTTAAAGGAGTATCATTTGAATACATTTTATTTACGACATACTAACTTCAATCGTTCTATCGTCTGAATCCCAACTGATGAGAGATCTTTTGAATTGTACTGTGGTGTGAGTATCGTTCTCTTCGTGCTTCAATATTTCAACGTTTTGATGTTTGTCAATATGAGGAAGAATATTGGACATTCCGTAACAATCCTATGAGGGTATGTAGAATAATATATTAATAGATGACTACCACAAGTGATAGCTTAAATGTATGTATTATTTATCGTTTATAGGAAAACGGTGCTTTGCCACGCTAATACCCTAGGGTTTCGGCCCTGCCATAAATGGCTGATCTGTGTCATAATTTGGGTTTATGGCTAAATTAAATGTATTTTGGGGGGTCAATAGTATTTCATAGTGGTCTGCATGTGAACAAAACCAATTTCAAAACTCAAAATGTTTGAGTTTAAATTACCCATGCTTGATCCGAGTGTTCTTAATTACGGTGATGTCATCATATTTTCTTTATGTATAATTTTTATTTTGCAACAAGGTCAATTTTATTTGTATGAGTATTTCAAAGCTTAAAAATAACCAAATAATCTATTGTTAGTTGAAAACGAAGTATTTTGAACGCGCGAACAACGTTCTTCGGCTCATAATAAACAAACAAAGATACCAGACAGCACGCGATCAAATGCTCTTCGATAAAACGAATATCACTTCACTTACAAATCCCAGTCTTGTTTTATCTTGAAGGTGACGTATAGCTCTTCTAAAAGAGAACTCTTTCTCTCGCATATCAATCACGTGTCGACCACAGCGTTAAAAGTGAGAAACTTTTTCTCGAAATTTTTTGAATTTTCTCTCTTCTTACTGGCATATGGTCGGACGCATTTACGCTACGTAATGTGGGCGCGTTTTAGTGGAAAGCGACGAAAATAAGCTTTTCAGGGACACATTAATGGTGTCTTTGGCATTTTTGGTTGGTGAAATATTAAAAAAATTATAGAAGGGTGTCAAAATGACCCAGGAACACCAGGGGTCATTAGGTTAAGTAGAAATTTGCCGCCTTCCGATAGTGTGCTGAAATAAATTTTGGCGCCATCTATTTCCGTTTACTATATAGCTTAAAGAATTAATAACGTCGTGTGAGCGAAGCGTAATAAGGTATTGGCATTATAAATATAAATGATATACTCACGAATAAATGCGGTGAGCCATTTCTATCAACCCATGTTAGTATAATGTCAGAGTTTTTCATGCTTTTATCAGGAGCAAATCCGAGACCAACCCAACCGCGGGTTTCCACAGTCATCTAGAAATTAGAATTTAACGATAAAAAATATTCTACCAGGCTCTGGAATAAACGTGTTATAGTGACCAAACATGAGAAATTGTTGAAGAATGGATAGTACTTTGCCAAAAAGCAAGGGAATTGAATAATTTCTCCTGAATATTCATTCACAATTTGCGAGCTTGCATGACTGTATTACATAACATTATGTAATCTAGAATAGGCGATAAATATCCAATTAACCTCAAATACGATATCTCTTTGCTCAATTCTCCATTGAAGAACAACTTTATCGTCCTTGTCCAGTGTTATTTGATGCTGAAATGCTTCATCTGTATTGAAATATTCTTTATAAAAAATGTCAAGCCCAAACGTAACTATTTTCACTTGAAATGTCGATGTTATATTTAACTTTATAAAATTTTGCACCGTCTTTATATGTCAATCAAACTCATGAACATTGCTTAGTAACTAAATTTGACTACTCACCAGTACGTTTATCTAGGACTTCATCCGGAATAAATGATATTGTCGTATATCCTGAAAAATAAATTAATATATTCCTGGGGATTATAACTAAGTACAAGAAAGATAATTACATGGTGCAACGACATAACACAAACTCACACAGACTTTCTTCAGCTGGGCTCGGTTTAGGCTCTGGGATTAAGTTTTAGAAGTAATTTATTTCTCAAAATCATTTGAATATTCAATATCAAAGTAAGTACAGGTCGTCAACAAGTATGAGATATACTACATTGGATATGGTATCGGTAGCCCCATATCCCCTCTACGGAGTAGGCCATTTAAATAGCGAATGAGAACATATATCCATAACTATTTCAACATTTTCAATTCCGGAACGCTCGAGTTAGGGATGTTGGTTCCGGACGTACTATTGAAAAACTCAATTTAAATGTCTATTGACTAAATTTGCACATGAATAGAAAGTTATCTTTGAAGTCAGCAAAATCTGTGCTAGGGTCACTCCCCCTTACTCCTCAATGATGTCGTAAATTTAAAAAACAAGAATCGCGAAATTAATATAAGCATATGCTAGTATGCAAATGTGTTCATCAAATCCTTCTTGAGCAGACACCTCACCTTAGTCATTGAAAAATACATCCTACGCGGAAATATTTATCATGAGAAATGGTCACTATAGCCTGAATTCGCATTTTTAATAGTTCAGGTCTTGTTCGTTCTGCGTGCAATGGCTTTCAAATGACTAAAGTTTATTACAAGCGTTAGTGTACAAGCGTTGAGTCACATATTGATTTATTGATATCATAGATAAGCTAATGAATAAATACCAGTTGGCACAAGCAACAAGGCATACCTCTGTTTTCTCCGTGGTAATCTTTGCTGCCTATGGCGTCACCTAGGTCTTCATTTCCATATGCCCAAATCACTCCCATTTCTCCGACCTACAAAAATGTTTTATTTTAGTGTTTGAAATGTTTTTTTGTCTGCCTTCAGAGAAATTAACATACGCGGAAATTAACAGAGATTTGAAATTGTGCCTTTATAGCCACGTCATTGCTTATTCATTGTTTAATATTTTTAATGAGGTCACAATAGGCCGCGTCACACGTAACAGTGTTTGATTTTTACGTGGGACGTTCTCTTAGAATACATGTTTCTAGATCAGACCGCTTTGCCCGTACCAGTGTACGGACAATTATAAAATGTCGGCAAAAGTCACGAATTAGCTAAGTTTAGGTACCGCTTAAAATTAGGACCGAGGGAGTGTTTGATCTTGATAAAATATATTGTGGATATACCTGAATTGTTCTATCGTCTCGCGAATCATTCGATGTAATATTTCGCCTGAATATCACAATGGTATGTCCGTTTTCTTCTCTACCTTCTAATAGTTGAACGTCCTGACTTTCATCGATATACAAGACACCGTTTTGTATCGCATGAGCATCCTGTGGTAAATAAAAATTTAAAAATTGGGATTCTGTATGATTACTTGATAATTGAATTGATATTTAATTATTTTTTTCGTTGTAGTATATTGGGCTTATCGTTAAGAATTGAAATATCAATGATGGCGTGTGTTCTCATTTTTATCGAACAATAATTTTAGAGTTATATATTTTTAATCAGTTTGTTCATAATTATAGTGCTATCTAAAATTTAACTTGATTTCAAAAATAGAAATACCACAAACAGGAAATGTTTAATTCAAGAAATGTTTAATTCAAAAATATATATTAGATCTGTAATTATAGATTTGAATAAGTTTTACTTAGTATTGACTATTGAGTAATAAATATCCTTTAAAATAGTTACAGGCAATGCAAATTATAGGCCTCGGGTAATAAATCTATTCGAGTTTATAGAATACAAACAAAGCGTACCAAACACCGCGCCGTTCTTACGTTTTCTATATCAGGATGAAACTTTCGAGATTGGGGAATTTCCATTTGACGCCCATGCAACAATGAAATGTAATTTGATGTTTGAGCAGTTTTTCGAATTAACGCTCGGCTGGGTATGATTTGACACATAGTCCGAGCGGGCGTTACCAGCACTCATCGGATACGCGAACAAAGCACAATTTTTTTTTCCAAAATTACGAGACTGAAAATATCCGTTCTTACCTTCACGTATGGATTTCCTTCATTTGTTACGCCGCCTATAATAATATCAGCATCCTTCATACTTTTCGTATGCTTTGACGGTGCAAATCCAATTCCGACCCATCCTAGTGTGGGGGCTTCAAGCTAAAAGATGAAGAATTTTTGTAAATACCATTACGGGAATTGTACTTTTGGTCATAAGTCTATCCCTTTGCTAAACTGCTCAAGGTGTTGTAAAAAATCGCCATTCTCCACAACTACAACGAATTTATTTCAAATGTTCGCGAAAGACCCAGTACTCTTAGTTTTATTTATTTGTAATGCCTACATGACCCTAATTTTGAGCCCAAATTTCTCTGTTTTAACTCAATTTATGGGAAAACTGTTTTGGTGATAAGTTCAGGAATTGTTTATTATACACTAAAATATAAAGTATACTTTTATGCACCACATAGTAAGAAATAAAATGTATATATATATTGTCTTAATCGTCATTCGAATACCTGGTACAATAATTCAAATGTTTGATAGAATAGCGATATACTTACTGTACATTCGTTTTAGCTGTTGTCTTGAGTTATTTCCCAAATAAGCTGGACTTTTTATGACAATTAACCATCTTAATCTCTTAGCGTCGAGATAACTGAAACAATCATATTAAATTTTCGACTTACTTTGATTATAATTGAAGAAATTTCCACATTCCATTCTATTTTTACTTCTTTGGCTTGGACCATCGAACCGTGACCATTCTTATCGTTACCATCGTTATCGTTCTGATTGCACGAATTTAATGTCGCTAATGACATGATTATAAAAAAATTGATAAATTTTTGCAATTTTTCCATATTAATCCTCCGTTGTTGATTTAAAATTTCATTCCTGATTATGCAACGAACCTAAACAAAAAATAGCGAACAATACTAAAAAAGTCAAGCATTTTAAGCCAGTGCTGAACCAGAATTGCACAACTTCAATCTTCATTTAATAGCGTTGCTATATTGCCTGTTGAGTCTATTATTTGAACTAGCAATCATTCCGGATAACCCAGATAACCCAATAGCGGACTATTTTTATTAAGCTGGAACCGTACAAAAAATGCCTAATTTATCGCAAAATATTACTATCATTTCCATATCTCCACAATGATTGTAATGTCTAAATCTGAGTACAAGCTTCCTACTTCTAACTCGATGATCTAAATTAAAATTTCATTCTTTTCCAAAAGCGCCGCGGGGTGATATTATCTATTTTGATTAGGATTTTCCTGTGATGTCGTGTACCTTGCTAGGGTTATATTGAACGCCGTGGCAACACAATAACAATTTAGGTTATAGGTGAAAGTTTAAATTAAGTGGAAATTAACTGGGATTCGATGTCAGGTAATCGTCAATTGTAAATATATTCTTTTTATTATTGGGCGCGAAAGTTTTGCCAAATTGTTGTTGTTGGGACTTTTCTTGTTGCTTTTGAGAGAAGTCGCCTTTTTCCCTAACTAGTGGACAAATCACTTCGAATCCTCATTACTTCATGGTTAATAAAACGACTAAAATTCTATTACTTTTATTCATTTTTAAATTTCCTCAAAGTCTTGTGAGGCCCGATATTTCACTTAAAAGTTTGCTGTTTTATTTTTATATAATAAATATATTTTCATTTCGAAAAGATTCAGATATTGTTTTTGGGAGATATTCAGTTCTTTCACCATGACGCAAAAAGAATATCACGAAAATAAAAATGAACTTACTTGTGTATCTATATTAGTAAATATACTACAAAACAATTACGAGGATGGTATGCGTTGATATTTTTTCTTCCGCTTCGCAAAATTGCAGATATTCATAGGCGCAGCCAGAATTTTTGAAAGGTTCAAAAATACACATTCGCGCCTAAGAAATTCCCATGCAACGGCCTTTGAAACAGTCGCCGCCATCACTAAAGAGCAGACTCTTTCAGCTGATAACAGTTTGTCCACGCGCAAAATTTCAATTCCTGACCATTCATATATATTCGGTTTTTTTAATGGTTTTTGTATTTTTTTTATGTTATTAATTTTGTAAGTTAAATGCCGCTGAGTATTTGACATGAAAACTTTTCCCCTAAAATAATTAACCAATATATTCCATATTATTGGTACTTGAAGATGGAAGAAATCGCTGTGACGCTAATATTTTTTTTCCGATTTCCCCGAATCCTATGGATCCACTCTTTCGTTGATTATACTGCAACCTAGCAAAACAAATGCCGTTTTGTAATGTATGTACTGAAACCACCTACATAATTGCAACACATGTTTCATGTACGGGAGTTCCCCCAAAGCGAAATTATTGAGAGTCAATTTTCAAGTTTTTAATCGACTCCTTGATTCACACAAGTTAGGACGGCCTTGATTCACAGTCCAGATTAGAATATTGACTTGATTCAAACAACTATATAATTGGTCTATGTTTTCATTTTGTATTGGTTGTACTTTCGCTGTAGTTTGATGATATGGAGTTCCTTTTTGATCGAAGGCAATCTTCGCGGCCCCTTGAACTTTATCGTAACTAACACACCATATGCGAACTCTTTCAGCTGGCGCAATGCTTTTTTTTATTCATCTTAAAAAAAATAACATTGTCATGTATTAAAATCTAGCTATTGTTCCATCGTGACTTTCTGAATTTGATTCTGAATGTTTCTAAAGTAAATCATTGTTGAGTTTGTTTGCCTCCTAGTTGCGATTAACGAGCTCTCAGCAATATTTTGTTGCTTTCAGCGAAATTGGATTTTGAAAAATGTATCGATTAAATGCACCTCGGGTTGATATCCTTTTTTTATTTTGTATTACAACAATGCGACCTGAAATGCATTTTATTGGGCATAAGGCATATGCGGATAATTACTCGTGAATTTGTTGCTGGCAAGCAAAATGAACTGACAAGCAGAAAGCAAAATAACATCACATTGTATATTTAATAAACTCGCGAATTGAAGGGATTCTCCTAGCTTAAACAGACTCACTTAAATTGTGTGATGGGCACGATACCTAATTCGAATCGGCAATGTGCATTGGCCGTGAGACATAATGGTTTACTAGCAATGTGTCACATATTCTATGGTGTTTATATAGTACTGTACAATTGTCTACAGTGCAATATCAATATTCAAACGCAGAGGACACAAATGGTATCAGGCACTGGGTTTCGAAGCACAAATATATACTTGTAGCCAGAAGGATAGCATGACAAAGTGAGCTAAATTTGGAAAGGGGGTGTTGGTTGTATTTGGTCAGTACAGGCCAGGGGTTTTGCGGGGTTACCTTGAAATCTAAGAATCGATGATTTTATATATCGTCACGCTGATAACCGAATTGCGTAAGTCATTTTTAGCAGTTTTGAGAAAAACGTAAAAAACTTCCCAATGACATTGTTATGCCATTGAGAGTCAATAATTTGCCATGGTTCAATTTTTTGATCGTAGCCGGATTTAAGTTAATTTGTATGACGCAGTTAAGTGACATCATAATGGCTCTCTGTGACTTAGGCAGAAATGTGTCTATGACTTTGCAACTTTACTATATGCACCAGTCCTGAAAACTAAACATTCCAAAAACGAATGTAATTCTCAGTATCTACAATGTTCAATCCCCAAAATAGCTAATCAGTTTCAATTACATTATTTTTTATGTTTAAAAATATATATTTCATCAATATAACACGTTCTGCACACCCACCGAAATAAGACTAAGATTAAATATAAAGAATAAAACAGCAATGCACCCAGTATAAAAGCCAAGAAGGTGAATTGGACTCGGACAGGGAATATCACAAGTGCACGCCTTCCTATACTGTAGTATAAATTCAAATTAATACGCGCTAAGCTAGAATCCGAGATGCAAAAACTCGAAAATACTTCGGCGAGGTTATTTTGCCTCTGTGACGTCACAATAGCCTTGCGATAACAATGATATTTCATTATGACGAAACAATTGAACAAATTTGCATGTCATACTAAATCTTCATTTATATGGGTTTCGGAATTCTTAAAATAAAATCTGAGTTAACAGACAGGTGCGCAGCATTACTAAATACCTATTTTATAAAAAACTCAAAATCGCCAAAAACGACTTACGCAATTCGGTTATTAGCGTGACGTTATGTATATTGTTTAAATATAACCAAATACACGAGAATAATATAATCATATAATAAGTGCGTTTCACTAGTGTCCTGTGACAGATCTTCAAGATTTCCGCGACGAATTTTTGCTGTTTGGCACATTTTATAATAATAAACAGAATCACATAACCAAAAGTACACACATAGTAAATTGTACAATGGCTCTTGTATTGGGGTTTCGTGTCACCAAAAAGATTGAAACCCACTGGTCTTCATTACACCATCGGGACCGGGTCAATAGACGAGCAAAAAATGAACTGTTTTACTGATTAAACATCATAAACATTCAAAAGGGCATCCTTTCCGATAGCAATGCAAAATAGGTTAAAAAATAATATTTCTACGTTACTGCGATATAGTGGTCTTAAACCGACGGAAAAGAATAGTGGATTACTAAATACTATATGAAATGACATTTCAGTGACAAGGAAAATACTTTTTGAATGCGACAACTGCCGTATTATGGATGATTTGTCTATGCATCAATGCAGTGATTTGGAGGTCGATGATACGGTCTCAGTCAAGGAACGAAAAATATCAACCGAGTATAAACTTTTCTTATTAAAGTTATATATATATATTATATTTATATATACAGGGTGTCTCAAAGTAAGTATACACTTTTAGTTTTGATTTGCTTTTCAGGTACTCATCATAGATCGTTCACTTTTTCGAAAACATAGTATGTTGGATAAGTAGTAAAATTCAGGTATTGTTTGCATTTTTCATCAAACCACAGAATGACAAGAAGATTAACCCAGATATGAGGTGCAAAATTGCTGGCAAGAAGCATATCAATCAGTAAGGCAAACTCAGTGCCTCTTTAACAGAGAATTTGGAACTAACCCAACTCTGAATGTTTTTCTCAGAGCGTCCGCTCCTTGATCTTCCTGATCTGTGTGCATCAACTACAGATCCAGTTTCTATAAATTTACGATGAATTGCATAAATTGTTCGTTGTGTAGGAGTTGAATTGATTCCAAATTCTCTGTTAAGCAGGTTCTGAGTTTGCCCTACTGATTTACATGCTTCTTGCTAGCAATTTTGAATCTCATTTTTTAATCTCCTTGTCTATTTGTGGGTTGATGAAAAATGCAAACTAAACCTACTACTTATCCATACCATGTTTTCTGAAGAAATGAACTTTCTATGATGAGTATCTGAAAAGCAAATCAAAATTAAAAGTGTATACTTCTTTTTGATACCCTGTACATATATACATAAATGCGTTCATAATGTTATTATTTTTATCACAGACTATCTGATGGAGAAATTATAAGTGATGAAGAGCCTCCTACAAAGCTTAGAAAGTGTGATTCTGGGATTTTGAATCCATTCATCATCAGGTATCTTATAGGTCGTAATCACATCTATAAAAATAAGCAAATTTTAACACGCAAATCAACATTTTTTTAATTTCCGAAGGTTGTTTTGGTTTTTTAATTTTACATTCATATATATAATTCTCGGTAAATGTATTTTATTTCTTTTATATTTGAATTATAATATGAATGGAACTTTGCTTAACCTAGTATATATATATTGTATTCATTATGATCTGGTGTTTCAATTTTATTCCGTAACCATTACAGTCATATTATACAGTTTAGCCTTTTTTTTCGTAAGCCTCGAGCCACCTCCGGTTGACTTTAATAAAATCTTTAGTGAGCCATTTTGGTAAGTAGGTTGTGGATTCCTCGCTGCCCTAGAGTTGTTCATGTAACCGCTGTTCGGTTACGGCCTCCTCCACCATCGAGTCCATGCTTCCGAAAATAAACAACTGGCTACCTAATCCCATACCCGACATGGACTCGTGAAAATTTGCTTAACACTGACTCCACATCCTTGGGGTTAAAGCCATATACTTGCCAATGATAAAGGTACTGGTAAAATTTTAAATTTCCAATCTTATATAAATTTTGATTGGATTGGACTTAGGGTGTATAGCAGCTTGGTTAACCATATTTGGTACTCCGAGACTTTCTTGCCCCAGTAACATTGTGTGTTGAATTTCCTGTTCTCTTAATTTTATATGCTAAACCTGACTATAAGACCGATTTACTTTTAGCTCACCCGAAGCAAAAGTTGACGAAACAAACCACAGCATGGAGAACGCTTCAAATTATTCAACACCAAGGTTATATATTTTTATTTTACGTCCTAAAGTGTAAGTTTATAGAGATTTTAATGTTTTTAGCAACAAACTTGGTTTTGGAAATGGAGTGAGTTACCGGCATTTCTCATCGGATAGAGTACTCTTCACTTGTTTGATTTCTCATGCTTATTTTTTTTAGTTCATCCGACAACGAAAGCGAGTATTCGACAGATACTGAAAGTGACTCGTCAACTGAAATACAAGACAAAGATGATGGTCAGTCATACAATGCGGCGCCAATAATCAAGTAAATATATAGAATCTTTAAAACACCTTTATTGTGCAAACACATAGTTATCAGGCATAGCCATTCTAGGCTAACAGAATCCGCATCCGATTTTTAGTTTTCTATGATGCCTATATTGTTTGCATATATTCCCGACCAAAAAGTTAAAAAGCCAGATAACAATTTAGACTGCCAAGCACATCACCCAACTTTGCTAGTTTCCCCAGCTAGCCATAACACTATTTAATTCAGTGACATTAGTGATGACAATATGTCAAAAGATTTTTCTGATTAATTTTAAGACGAAACAACACGAAATGTGATTTTTTGATTACTCTCCGAATGTGACGCGGGCCACAGATAATGAAGCGGCGGGCCACATGTGGCCCGCGGGCCTGGGTTTGGACCACCCTGGTATATGATATACACATTAAAATATTTAAAAGACGGAGTGCGAGTTGCTCGTAATACCAGCGAAGAATCATATTTTCGAAGTTCTTGCCATTGTTTCGCATGTAATGTTGAGCGAATCAGTAATGATGATATTTTATGTATGGGTAGGGTAACCATATTTTTATGACTTCAAAGCGGGACACCTCAAAAGACAACGACCCATTAGCTGTGATTTTGTAACTTCACATTTTCCTATTTTACTACATAGGCCTACATTTCTACATTTAAAGCTGTCCCGGCTGTCTTTATTGACTATATTGTTATCGAAATTTTATGCACTTAATCTCTGTGCAAATATCGGGTTCAGTTCGAAAAACAGAAAGAAATTGATGTTCACAATACCGGTACAAATAATTCGAATTTAGACTAATTAGTATTGGTTTTACATGCGATACGTCTGCTATCAATGGGAATCAGTGGGAAACAAACGCCATCCACCTTCAGTAAGTAGGCTAGCGCTGCGCTACACAGAAACAACAGTAACGAGAACATGTTCGTGTATTATGCTGGATGGCTGAACGCAAAAGCGGGACTTTTTGCTGACTTGTCGGGACAGCGGGACAAGACGCTGAAAAGTGGGACTGTCCCCCCTAAAGCGGGACGTATGGTAAGCCTATGTATGGGCTACTATTTCATAAGTAGTAAATAGATTTGTTTGTTCAATATGAAAAAACCAAGACATAACCTATATATATATTTTGTCAGAGATTTCGGATCGGCAACGTATAACTTTGGCGGTCACAAAATTCCTCCGGACAATTTTCGGGACATACCGGTAATACCTCGACCGAATGTGGATTTACTTCCCAATGAAGATCCATTTGTCAGAGCAAACAATACGGACAGGCCTTACGATAAGTAATGAAACCAAATTGTTTGATAAAATTTATTTTAGCATTGAGTGTTTTCGAAATTTTTTGAACTTCTGAAAACAAATATTACATTTTGAATGAATTCAATAGAAAATGGTATGTTGTTACAGTTCATAAAAACACTTATAAAAAGAATTTGTTTATTGTTTAGTGCTGTAGAGATAAAATACGGATTCTTCAATTTTGACGGGAATACTTTCCCCTTTTTCCCAATTGATACTGAATTTTTATCTGCATTAGTGATGAACATTATTTGGATGTTCAGTTTCGACTGATGAGAGAAGATTATATACGGCCCCTGAGAGATGGGATTCGCAAAATTAACGGTGGTAAGAGTTGAGCCAAATTTTGTGACTGGTTGGAATTTATTAGATTGTGCATGCTTATATCTATAATGATTGTCGAGAACCTTCTATGAGATAATACGTAATGAATATAAAATTTAATACCACACACAAGGAGACTTATTTAAGAAGGCAACGGCTTACTTTGTCAGAAAATGCTTATCAAGTTATTGTTGTCTGTATCGAGCCGGCACACTAATGATTAATCTGATATACGTCAGTCGGACAAATGGCATGTATACAGTAGGTATCCATTACATTTGAACCCACGTACATTTGAACCCATGACAATTGCACCTGTATGCCATTGCACCTATGGAATTTTTTTTGTTTCACGGATAGTTAAACCCATACTAACCCTAACCCATGGGTTTTAGCACCCGCATATAGATTGAACCCGTGGATATACGCATGGGTTCAAATGTACATGGGTTCAAATGTACGGTCACCATACAGTAGGAACATAATTCAGCACAATTTAAACGCAAGGCAAACTTCACTCGTTCTAATATTGCATCATAATCAAATTAAGGACGCCAAAGTAGATACGTCTATACAAATATGCTACACTGCCGATAAATTTTCACGTATTAAAACTAAATTAAATCAATTTTTTTATGGTTGTTTTCACACTTGCACCCACAAGCAAAATTTTAGACAAACAGCACCGATATAAAAAAAATACCCTATTTTAGAATAGACTGGATTCTTTTCGGTTTGGCATTGTTCCCTCATATTTATCAATTTTTTATAAACTCTGATCGAGGTGGAGGATGTGTAGACTGAACGCGGGGTCTTTAGTCTACCACTCTGACATATATCTTATGGACTAGGCCACCGTGCCCACGTTTGGAACATATGTTGTTCAAAAGAGCAGAGAATGGTTATACCGTAAATATATACTACTACGTTATACATACCTACTACGTCTAACTTCTACAAGTTTTTATTCAGGTTACCGACGCAGTGATTCCGAAGTGAAATACTATACGGGAGTTCAGTTTGCTTATATCAAACCAACTATGAAAGGTAAAACTGCACATTTGCATTTTGTATAATCCACATCGTGTATGAATGAAAGCGACCTCTGTGAAGCTAGCAGCAAAACACGAAATTGTGACTGACAGAATCGCAGAAAATACCCACGCGTAAAATTAAATGTTCCCAATGATTTTTATAAAAAAGTGTATATTTTGCTTAGTTTCACAATAGCAATTAAAGCAAAACAATCATTAACTACACTCCTCGTATTGTTAATATATGGTAAACAAGCTAAAGCGACTGTTACAGTGCACAAATTTTTTTTATAATTCTTTGAGAGATGTTTAAAAATGACTGAATTTTCGTCGTGTAACATGGTCGTTTCATGAAAACCTCCAATAAAGGCAGCATTGCAACACCATTGGTGAAAAGTAGAAACCTCAAAGATTCGATTTCAATATGTCAGAACAGTCTCAGCACGTTTTGACTTGACCATATATAATACTAAACATAGCGAATATTCTTCAATTTTTAAAACAATGTATATACAACAAATTTGAAACTGATTTTGTATTTCAATTAAAATTACTGGATAGTTCATCAAAGAAGATATTTTTCTCTTTGTCACACAACAATAATGCACTTCATTAAACTTAGAATAAGTTGAGTAAAGTCTGAAATACTGAAAAAAAATTTACACCCTCTTGTGGATTCTTTGATAAATTTCAGAAAATTATCGTTTTCGAAGGGGCGATTTCTCAAAAACCGCCAATAAAGGCAGCACTACGACACATTCGAAGAAAAGCAGATACCCTATAGATTCGATTTTAATATGTCAGAACAGTAGCAGCACGTTTTGACTTGGCCAAATATAATTCCAAACATAGCGTATATTTTTAATTTCATTAAAAAAATGTAGATGTGACATATTTAAAAACGGTTTGGTATTTCAACTAAATTTACTGGAAAATTCATCAAACACTTTCTTCTCTTGGGTATACAACAAAATTGTACGTTCATTAAACTTGGAATTAGTGTGCAAATGTTAAAATGCCAAAAAATGATTTGACGCCCTCTTGTGGATCCTTTTCGGAATTTCGAAAAATTATCGTTTTTGATAAGGGCGATTTTTCAAAAACCGCCAATAAAGGCAGCACTACGACACATTCGGAGTAAAGCAGATACCTAATAGATTTGATTTTATTATGTCAGAACAGTAGCAGCACGTTTTGACTTGGCCATATATAATACCAAACATAGCGTGTATTCAAACTTTTATAAACAATGCAGACGTAACATATTTAAAAACGGTTTGGTATTTCAAATAAATTTCCTAGATAATTTATCAAACATCTTTTTCTCTTGGACATACATATATACTATACGTTCATTAAACTTGGAATAAGTTGCGGAAAGTATAAAATACCAAAAAGCATTTTACGTCCTCTTGTGGATTTTTTTCAAAATTTCAAAAAATTATCGTGATTGAAATAGCGATTTCTCGGAAACCGCCAATAAAGGCAGCACTACGACACATTTGGAGAGAAGCAGATACCTTATAGATTCGATTTTAATAAGTCAGAACAGTAGTAGCACGTTTTGAGTTGGCCATATATAATACCAAACATAGCGTATAATTTTTAATTTTATCAACCATGTATATGTAACATATTTAAAAACGGTTAGGTATTTCCACTTAATTTACTGGATAATTCATCAAACACTTTTCTCTCTTGGTCATACATCAAAACTGTATGTTCATTAAACTTGGAATTATTGTGCAAATCCTAAAATGCCAAAAAATGATTTGACGCCCTCTTGTGGATTATTTTCGGAATTTCGAAAAATTATCGTTTTTGAAAAGGCGATTTCTCAAAAACCGCCAATAAAGGCATCACTACGACACATTCGGAGTAAAGCAGATACCTTATAGATTTTATTTTATTATGTCAGAACAGTAGCAGCACGTTTTGACTTGGCCATATATAATACCAAACATAGCGTGTATTCAAACTTTTATAAACAATGCAGTCGTAACATATTTAAAAACGGTTTGGTATTTCAAATAAATTACCTAGATAATTTATCAAACATCTTTTTCTCTTGGACATACATATATACTATACGTTCATTAAACTTGGAATAAGTTGCGGAAAGTATAAAATACCAAAAAGCATTTTACGTCCTTTTGTGGATTATTTTCAAAATTTCAAAAAATTATCGTTATTGAAATAGCGATTTCTAGAAAACCGCCAATAAAGGCAGCATTACGACACATTTGGAGAAAAGCAGATACCTTATAGATTCGATTTTAATATGTCAGAACAGTAGCAGCACGTTTTGACTTGGCCATATATAATTCCAAACATAGCGTATATTTTCAATTTTGGTAAAAAATGTAGATGTGACATATTTAAAAACGGTTTGGTATTTCAAATAAATTTACTGGAAAATTCATCAAATACTTTCTTCTCTTGGGTATACAACAAAACTGTACGTTCATTAAACTTGGAATTAGTGTGCAAATCTTAAAATGCCAAAAATGATTTGACGCCCTCTTGTGGATTCTTTTCGGAATTTCGAAAAATTATCGTTTTTGAAAGGGCGATTTCTCAAAAACCGCCAATAAAGGCAGCACTACGACACATTCAGAGTGAAGCAGATACCTTATAGATTTGATTTCATTATGTCAGAACAGTAGCAGCACGTTTTGACTTGGCCATATATAATTTTATCAACTATGTAGATGTAACATATTTAAAAACGGTTAGGTATTTCAACTTAATTTACTGGATAATTCACCAAACACTTTTCTCTCTTGGTCATACATCAAAACTGTATGTTCATTAAACTTGGAATAAGACGGCGAATCCTAAAATAACAAAAAATGATTTGACGCTCTCTTGTGGTGTTTTTTTGAAGTTTTGAAAAAATATCGTTTTTAAAAGGGCGATTTCTCAAAAACCGCCAATAAAGGCAGCACTACGACACATTCGGAGAAAAGAAAATACCATATAGATTCCATTTCATTATGTCAGAACAACAGCAGCACGTTTTTACTTGGCCATATATAATACCAAATATAACGTGTATTTACAATTTTATAAACAATGTACACGTAACATATTGTAAAAAGATTTTGTATTTTAACTAAATTTACTGGATAATTCATCAAACATCTTTTTTTTTGGACTTACACCAATAATGAACGTTCATTAAACTTGGAATAAGTTGCAAATTGTATAAAACAACAAAAAAATGACCTACGCCCCATAGTAATTTTGTTTAATATCTCGAACATACCGTTTTTGGAGTGGCGATTTCCACAAAACCGCCAATAACGGCAGCACTACGACACATTCGAAGAAAAGCAGATACTCCATAGATTTTGTTGAAATACCTAACCGTTTTTAAATATGTTACGTCTGCATTGTTTATAAAAGTTTGAATACACGCTATGTTTGGTATTATATATGGCCAAGTCAAAACGTGCTGCTACTGTTCTGACATATTGAAATCAAATCTATAAGGTATCTGCTTTACTCCGAATGTGTCGTAGTGCTGCCTTTATTGGCGGTTTTTGAGAAATCGCCCTTTCAAAAACGATAATTTTTCGAAATTCTGAAAAGCATCCACAAGAGGGCGTCAAATCATTTTTGGCATTT